GTGTTTGTGTGTTTACTGTGAAGGTACTCCTGGATGACAGCATTACAATATGGCACGGTGGCATCTTCTCGCTACGTTCGTCCCTCAGTGCAGGGTGACAAATTGCTGGGACAGCTGACTCTCTCCAAACACTGGTAGACACTTTGAAAATATCTGATCTTTCATTTGGCTCCACATGACTCTTCTCTAAATATTAAAGCTACAAGCTAAGGCAGATTTTGACTTTGGATTTGTCCTCAAATGTTACACAGTAGTACTCCAGTACTACTTGTCGGCAAACAGAAGCCAAACCACTTGCAAAAGAAACAGTACTGCATTTAAGGCAATCTTTAATTTCTCCTTCTGTTCACATTGTCCCTTTTACATTCCCTCCTCCTATGTTTATTTTTTCTCCCTTCCTCTTTCAACCCTCTGTCCGGATGAGTGGCTTACGTGCCAAAGGAACTGGCTATACTTAGAAAGTATCTTCTTGGCCCCAGACATCAAGAGGCAGCTGCCTGCTGAGTCCAAAATGTTTCTTAGGTGGACAAGTCCTGGAAGGAGATCAGCAAAGGTCAACAAGATGCCCTGTGCCTTTAGAGCAGCCACACAGCCTGGTAGGTAGCATACAGCAGTGACGGCAAAATAGACAAGACAAGTGTGTCTGAGATAGGCAGACAGATGCAGATCACTTGCTCAGGCAACACATTGTCACTGCATACAAGCCTGTCGTTTTATCCTCCACAGATCTGCTGAAGACCTTTCAGCACAACAACGCTCTTTGGATGAGACACAGAATTGTCTGGAAGCCTACCTGGAGTCCAAGAGGGTCATCTTCCCCGGTCCACACATGCTTGCTTTGTTGCACAGACTTTACATCATACTTCATCTTCTTTTTATCATCCTGAACAGTGTGATTTATTTTAATTCCTTCCCTTGATAGTTATTTCCCTGTGCACCAACTAATTTAAAATATAAGACTATAATATAGATGTGGTGGGATTTCTCTGCACTTCACGATTTGATCAAGACTCAGAGAGCTTTTTTTCAATACAGTATTCTGGATAATGACCAATTTCATTTGCACATTAAATCCAAAAGAACATCTCCTCATTAGCTTTAAAGGGCTACCTTGCGTCACCATCCTCCTTTCTTTAACACTAGTTTTTCAGACTCCTTAGAAAACTGAAATCTAACAGGATGTTCAGTATGTGTAAAGGACAGAGCTGTACACCATTTATCTAAGCTTGTACCTGTTTTTTTGTTTTTTTAACCCTGGACATTGACGATTTATTCCTATAAATCAGGCTAATGTTACAAGCAGCCAAAAAATGTGCTGTACAGGGGAAACGCCTTCACTTTTTCAGCAGTTGGGCAAACTACAAACAGAATTTTATTAACTGACACACTGTAGCCGACACTGGCATTTACTGCCAGACTGACAACTTACTGCTAATCTTTGCCTCCACTAACTTTCACCATCACTTTCTGCCGCTTGCATTATGTCAGCATTTTGTTATCATTAAAGGGGTTTATGTAGTTTTTTTTTTTTGAAATCACTTATCAATAATCACTTTTTTACTGCTTATTTGTGAGGGTTATAACCTCACATAAAATAAACCTCCCACCTGCTTTCTCTGTCCCTTGGAAAAGCCACTACTCTGCTTCTTTTGTGAAGGAATCTGGTCGGATTTTCTGATTCTGAACCATGCACACAGCAACAACACTGCAGCTAACACGAGTCCGCTAAAACAAAAAAACACTAAAATACATTCCCTGTGAGCAATGTGTCATAAACACTATAAATGTAGTAACTACTCTGCTTTATCCTTTACCCGTCACTCGCAGGTTCTACTTCTTATCTAATGATGAGTTGCTGAAGATCTTGGCCCAGACAAAAAAAACCCAGGCGGTGCAGCCGCATCTTAGGAAGTGTTTTGATGCCATTGCACGGCTAGATTTTGCTTTGCTGCCCAAAGTCTTCTGGGCGACAGAAACTGCGCTAGACGATGAAGAACAGGAGATGGTCTATAGCAAAGACATCCTTAACATGGTTTCTCCTGAGGGAGAGAAGGTCAGGTTTGAGTAACCTTAACACCTTTGCCCAGATGCTGTCCGGGTTTATATTCTACCTGTTTTTCTTGATTCATTCCTTGCTGAGAATGAGAGAGAGTGAGTGAGAAGAAAAAATACACGTATGCTACCTTAGTGAAGGTAACTATTCAACTTTATAAACTAGAACAATAGTTAAGCATGTCAGCCATCTTCAATGACACGACTCTTCTCTTACTTAGCAAGTGCTAAAGCAGGTTCTCAGATTATGCATGCTGTAATTAAGCAAATGTTGGACATGTCTCACTTGTAAATATACCAAAGTAATCACTGAGCTATAATTGTTTGACATTTCAAATTCTGCTATAAGGATAGTGAATCATTTTTGGGTGCAGTGACAATTTTGCTGGCCAGACCTGACACAGAGGATTCTCATTTAATCAAGTGCTTGACTGTTACTGATCCTGTCCTTCTGTGGGTAAGTGTAGGTGGGTTTGACTAAAGGTCTGAAGGCACAAGGCAATGTGGAAGCTTGGCTTTGCAAGGTGGAGGAGGCTATGTTCACCTCACTGCGACGCATCAGCAAGGCTGCCATTGCAGACTACCAGGTGAAGACTAGAGAGGAATGGGTGGTAGCTGGACATCCCTCGCAGGTACACACACACACACACACACACACACACACACACATTTAAGTAAAGTTAGGGACCATCGCTCTTCAGATTTTTTGACTTGTCTACTGTTGTTTGTGTATTATTACACACTTTAGCTTTTGCATGGGAAAATATGTTAACTACGTTACCAGTTACAAATATATTATTTTCCTAACCATGAGTTGCACTATTGAGCTTCACTTTGAGGAGCTAACCAAGACTTTAATAATTATTCCTATTATCTAAAGCTTTGATCGATTTTGCAATTTATCACTTCAGCTGAAGCTGCTGAAGTCTGTTCTGTTTTTACGGTGACTTAACTTTGCGTCCACCAGGTGGTGCTGACCATCTCACAGATGATGTGGTGCAGCGACATGGATGCCTGTCTGGAGGGAGACCACGACCACTTTGCTGCCCTGCAGAAATTTGAACTCGCTAACTTTGACGTAAACACTAACTACTCCCACAATTGTCTGGTTAAAAATAAAAACCAATCAAATCCACACTTGTGTTTGCTCAAGTCATTTTACTTTTTGACTTTTTACCCAATAACGTTTATGTGTTTGTGTGTATTCCAGAGGCTGAATGCCCTTGCAGCACTGGTACGAGGACAGCTGCCTACTTTACAACGTAATATCATCACTGCCCTCATCACCATAGACGTCCATGCCAGAGACATTGTCACAGATCTAGTCCGCCAGAAGGTAAAATAGTGCCAACACACAAACACATTAAGCAGCTTACATCTATGTCTGTTGTGTGTGTGTATGTGTGTAACAGTTCACCACCTCAAAGTAACAGCAGCCCTCTTTTCCAGGTGGATACCAGCTCTAACTTTGAATGGCAGAGACAGCTACGCTACTACTGGGACTTGGACCTGGACAACTGTGTAGCCAAAATGGCTCTGTCGACTTACATTTATGGCTATGAATACCTGGGAGCCTGTCCGAGACTGGTTATCACACCACTCACGGTAACACATATTGATACTCATTGAGACACACCTGTATGATCAATACATGCCTTTTTCTGTCCCAACTGTAACACATACACCTTTTTATGCGTTATGTTCAGTTTAGACACAAGACATTATGTGTAGCCTATAGAATGTGTGTCCTGTAGTAAACACATCATAATGTGTGTTTATCTGTTATCTTGTTTTTTTTTTATGTTCAAACATTCACAGCTGTTCAAACTGTCCTGTATCTCTCACTTTGCCCTGATATGCAGGACCGTTGCTATTTGTGTCTGATGGGGGCTCTCCAGTTAGACCTGGGAGGAGCTCCAGCTGGGCCAGCAGGGACAGGCAAAACAGAGACCACCAAGGACTTGGCTAAGGCCCTGGCCATACAATGTGTGGTCTTCAACTGCTCTGATGGACTTGACTACAAGGTCAGCCATGACAAACTTATTCATGTTATTTTCATTTTCATTTCTATACCCCACATCTGAACTTTTGTGTGCTCCTTATTACACGTTTGTTTGATTTTCCACTAAATGCTGATTCTGATGCAGATGTTTGCTCTGTTTGAGGATCTCTGGAAGGCTCTGACTGTACCTACTAAGCCATGCCATTAGGTGGCACTATTGAAAAAGCAGTCAAGCCTTCTGTACAAGTGTAGATGTGTGCTACCCAAGGGGGTAAGCCAGAGAAAAGCCTGCATGGAGGGATCCATGTGGGCCCAAAAATGAGGTCAAAACCCTGTGACACACTGTCGCACAAGAGAAATGTAACCGTATTGCTTAGATTATAAACTCTCGGCAATCAAAAAAAAAAACTATCAGAGCCATCAGAGACGCTGTGTTGGTGTTTGGCAGGTGACCCTTGTAGGTGGGCTGATTTAACAGTGACGATCCGAGTCAGACAAACACACTGAGCCATGAAACTTTTGTTTACTATGCAGCTCCCAGAATTACGGTGTTTTTGCTGTGTTTCTACATCATTAAACCACAGTTATGCTGCGTGATCATGCGCAGTAGACGCAGAAAAACCTGATTTTAAAAGATTATGTTGTAGACAGTGATATATTTTAACTCTAACTCACAGGTGTGGTCTATCAATATCAGGTGGTATTTTGTACAAATGTAGAACGACTTCCAGATAATTTCACTTTAAACATAAGTGGCACATTGTTACTTTCGACCCCATCAGTTGTGTCGAAAGTAACACACAGGAGGGAAAGTAACACAACTAGATTTTTTGTGTTTCCCTTGTTCTTATTAAATATATGTGACCATGACCTTGTAAATATGTAACTGCAAATATATTTTGTCCTTTATCTTTGCAAAAAATGTATAAATTACATTTTCATTTTATTTATTATCTATTTACAGTTTGTTCAAATGTTTCAAAAGAAACCCAACCGTATACATGTTCAAAATGTTTTTTATTAAGTCAATCCATTTTATAAAACATTTCTTCAACAATATGAACAAATATATATATATATATATAATATGTTTCTATCCAGCTGTTTTTATACGTAATTCCAAAATGTGCATGAAAACATCTAGCTATATCAGACCTCTGTCTGTCTTTCTGACCTTCACTCTTGGCATAATCTGTTGGTATAATATAACATAAACATGTTTCAATACATGCTGCAACACAGAGAAAGTCACCACATTAGCAGCGGGACAAAAGAAACACGTGTGGTCACTGTAGCGGCAGGAACTACTGACATATCAACATGATTTATTTTTACATTGAAAAACTCTGACAGGGCAAAATTCAGGGTGTTATAAAGCACTAAATAACCTGTAGATTAATCATTACTGTGACACATGAAACGAGAGACATAACTTGTAATTCGAAAAACAGCACCGCTTCAGAAATTTACTTGCCGTGCTCGAAAACAGTTTTCCGAACACGGCCGCAGGAAACGATGATGAAATCATGCGATAATTGGCAGCTCCATCAAGGGTTGCGTGCCGAAGTTGCTGTCACAGCTTGGACTGCAAATGCAGTCAGGGCTCTGAGAAAATCGTCTTGTTACTTTCGTCCCGTGTTACTTTCACCCCTGTTTACTCCTAGTATTTTATTGGTCCAAAATTGGCTTCACTGCTCTCCATTCAAATCAGCGGGGTGGCTTTGGTGCTACCAAAACATTTCCTCAAACCAGATTTGATCCTTTCCTCTCTGCTCTAAGCAATCTTTCTGTAGCTTCTGCCTGCTCCATCACAAGCAAAATACTGTAAGTCATTTAGATAATACCTATCATGCTGTATTTGGCTGAACCTTAAAAGGTATTATTTGTGCGTGCATTTATTGCTTTAATAATCATCATAATTATCACAATTCCAAACACAGGATTGGAACTTCACTGCTACCACTGCCACAGGGACACGGACAAGTTATTCCTTGTTTCTGTTCGTTTACAGTTTGTTTACATCAGTCAGTTTTCATTAATTATGATTAGTTGACAAAAAACACAAAAATTCAGAGTGGGCCTTTAACCTACCCGAGGCACACTCTACTTAATTAAAGTAAAACACATGTGCAGTGAGTTTGGAGTCAGTTCTCTCTATGTACGCTGGAGTTAGTTGTTGGTAGCAGACACCTGTGTTATAAGAGTTGGACAGGGCATTGATTTACAGGCTAGAATCACTGAAATCTATGGTTTTATGTGTTAATGCTGTTTTTCAGCCCTGCTCCACTGTGTCTCAGCAACATTTAACTGGAACTGTCCATGAGAGATTAATAACTTTGAAGAGTGATTTTTGTGTCACTCATTGAAAGGTGCAAGTAACACACTCTAACTCTCTAAACATATCCAGCACAATGTGACCACTTGGCTGCCTTTTTGCTCTAAAAGCTTGACATTTAAAGTCAAAAACATCATCTCTTATTACTTTTCTGTATTGGAATTATAATTGGAATACAGGAATTTAGTGATTTTACGATATGTTTACTTTTATTTTTTCCAAAGTAATTTTCCATGGACAAGGTTGATCCCGAGATGATTTCAAAGGGATAATGTGCAGCAATGTAATTATTAAAATATGATTTATATCATCAAATATCAAATTTTTGTACTTGTTATTGGTGATGAAAAAAACAGTGCTGATATGGGCAAACGTCTTCATCTATACAGCTAAGGCAGAGTGAGGAGTTTGCCACAGACAAGTTCAGCCAATATTATAAATATCATATAAAGTGTAAACTTTAATTACGTTTCTCTCTTCCAGATGATGGGGCGCTTCTTTTGCGGGCTTGCTCAGTCGGGCGCTTGGTGTTGTTTTGACGAATTTAACCGAATAGACATCGAAGTGTTGTCTGTCATCGCTCAGCAGCTCATAACCATACGAAATGCCAAAGCTGCTAAGGTACAAGCACCCATGCACACACACAACTTTTGCATTGTTCACAGGGCACTTTGCACACTATGTATGGAGAAGAATTAAGGACATTGCTAGTCTAAATACTATCCTAAAATTCTAAGCAATAAGCCTTACACAGGTCCATAATTCACTCCCGCACACAGACTTGTCTTATTTGTGTAGATTTAAAGATATCAATTCAATTCAAATCAGCTTTATTGGCATAAATGTATAACAAAAATATTGCCAAAGCTACAAATAAATAAATAAATAAATAATATCACACTCACATAAACGAGTGTCTCACTCAATTCTGTCTTATGCAGGTGTCTAGGTTTCTATTTGAGGGCCAGGAGATTAAGCTGGTGATGACGTGTGCTGCATTCATCACCATGAACCCAGGCTATGCCGGAAGAACAGAGCTACCTGACAACCTTAAAGCTCTCTTTAGACCCATTGCCATGATGGTGCCGAACTACGCACTAATTGCTGAGGTGACAGGCTCTCTGCATGTGTGCTGTTGTATGCTGCTTACTTATTTTGTCTACATAACAGTTTGTAATTCTCTTATTTCTCTCCCTCCCTCCAGGTGATTTTGTACTCAGAGGGATTTGAGTCCAGTAAGACCTTAGCGAGGAAAATGACCCAGATGTACAAGCTGTGCTCTGAGCAGCTGTCCCAGCAGGACCACTACGACTTTGGCATGAGAGCCGTCAAGTCTGTCCTGGTCATGGCTGGGTCAGAGCATCACACTCATACATACACTGACACACGCGTGCATTCATGACACTCAAACAGACACACATGCATAAGTATTCAGTGTATCTGGCATCAGCACACGGTTGACATTTTTTAGTCCTTTGCAGAGACAGTCATCATCAGTGAGTTAGATAGTCATGCTTTGTGTTTAACTCTCATATACTCAGCAGATATTTAATCAGAAACACAAACAATCAAATATTGTACCAGTGATTCCTCAGATTAGAGGGTAAGAGCCTCTGAGCCAGTTTTGCATGTTGTGACTGCAGTTGACTGCTCCTAAGCACTAGTTTTACTGTAATTACACAGTTGTTCCTGGTCTGCGTGGGTGCAGAAATAAGGATGAATGGATGTTCCTGACCATATGTATGAAAGATTGTTGGTTATTAGCTGAAGCTCAGGGAACTGTTGTTCCACACTGAGATACACATTCATTATCACCCACTCTAATGTCTCTGATGTGTTTTATAACTGAGCGGAGGCAGCTTGTTGGGAAGATCCGGTTGTTCAAAATTAAATTATCAGCTCATGTCTGCTGCTTATTATCTTTATTAGATCCGCATTTGTAATGACTCTATTCCACTAATTAATTTGCTCATTATAACATAAATTTTCTCATAATCATATTTATTTCAATGAATGCACCAACTTCTTTGGATGAGATGCCATTTGACAGATTTGATTTAATATTTTAATGCAGTCTTTATGAAACTCAATACGAGGTTTGTTCTGCAGTATGACCAAGATGAAGTGAGGAAATAAGCAAACAAAGAAAGACTAAACCAACAAGTTAACAGACTAATAACCTAAAGAAGATAAATCCAGGATAACCAAAAAAGCACACCACTTGCTAGTCATATTGTAACTATTTGACATATACCCCACTTTAAACAAAATGCTTTGTGTGAAATGCAGATTATTAACGTTTGTTGTGTTCTTAGGTCTTTAAAGAGAGATAACCCCCACCTCAGTGAGGATGTGGTTCTTATCAGAGCCCTGAGAGATTCCAACCTCCCAAAGTTCCTCGTTGATGATGCTGTGCTGTTTGGGTAAGCCTATCAGAAATTTTGGTATGGAATTACAGCTTATTTCTGGAGCTCTTAATGCACACATACTGAAAAATAACAGGACATTAGAATATTACACCAGACTGCTGAAACAAATAAAATGAGTTTCAGTGAGAAAAGGGTTGCTGTTTTTATGCTGTTACATGTGAAAACTGTTCATGAGTATTTATTCTGCCATCCTGCCTCCAGTGGTATCCTGTCAGACCTCTTCCCTGGTGTGTGTATCCCCAAACATGACTACGGTGTGCTACAATCCACAATCCTGGAGTCTCTGGTTAAACGAAACCTGCAGCCTCTGGCTAGCATGACCAAGAAGGTACAATGGGGAAAGTGGTGTTTCTTTGTGTTTTTGAATTTACCGAATGGTTTCCTTATGAATGTGCACTTATCCCCCAAATCTTTTAAACAGGTCGCAAATATATTTTAGTTAATAGAGTAAATTGGTGGGGGACTACTTTTCAGCTGTGGATTAATAGAAAATGTATGCTAGTGACTATTTATGGCACCAGGACGGTGTATGTGAGATTAATTCAAAATAAATGATGGCGCATATGTAATCATAATGAAAACATCACACGTCACCAGCAGGTAGAGCAGGTCATCCACTAATCACAGGATTGGGGTGACCAGTATTTAGAGAGAGTGATCATTTGTGTTTGTTTCACTTTGATGTCGCAGTAAACTTGTATAGATTTAGTTTGTTTTGTTAAACAGGTCCATCCTCAAAACACGCCCTCTTTCTTCTCCTTTCAACTTCTTTTTATACGACCAGGTGATCCAGCTATATGAGACCATGTTAGTGCGTCATGGTGTCATGTTGGTGGGGCCTACAGGTGGAGGCAAGACCACTGTCTACACCATCCTGACGGACACACTGGAGACCCTCCATCACACTGAGCACAAGGCTAACAGCCCCTTCTATCAACCTGTCAAGACCTATGTTCTCAACCCAAAATCTGTCACAATGGGAGAGCTCTACGGAGAGGTACTGTAGACAAGAGAATATATAATACGGCTTCTTTGCTTCTCGCTCTACATCCGCTGATTATTTACCTCCACTCCTCAGGTTAACACATTAACACTGGAGTGGCGTGATGGGCTGATGGCGCTGAGTGTCCGTGATGCAGTTAACGACACCAGTGACCACCACAAGTGGGTGATCTGCGACGGGCCAGTTGACGCCCTGTGGATTGAGAACATGAACACGGTGCTGGATGACAACAAGATGCTCTGTTTGGCTAACAGCGAGCGAATCAAACTTACTCCATCCATTCATATGGTGTTTGAGGTTTGAGCTGCACATAGTGAAAGTAGAGTTTAGTGTTTTGTCTAATCAATAAGCAGTTTAATAAGCAGCACAATACAGGTCCAAGGCTAAAGCACTCAAGCATAAATGAGACCTTGATGCTCTGCTTAACATACTTACATTGTTCTACAGTATGTTGTGCTCCTAGATCACCAGATCTCCTTCATTAACTGTGTTTTTCAGGTACAGGACTTGGCTGTAGCATCTCCAGCCACAGTCAGCCGCTGCGGGATGGTATTTATTGACCCTGAGGAGCTCAAGTGGATGCCTTATGTCCAGACATGGATCAGTGGTCTGACCAAGGTTGTACATACTGTCTCTCTGTCATTCCCAAATTTAAAGTATTTGTGCATTCGGCTTTGTATATAACAGCTTCTAAAGCAGTATTAAATGTTTGTATAAGTATTTTTTATCTGGCAATTACGGGTCAGTATTATGTCCTGTAAATACAGTATATATACAGTACATTAATTGTATCAGGTTTTCTCTCCAGTCATAGTTTTTGACTTGATGACAGTTCAAGCTGTGAGCATCATTCAGTGAACTTCCCCATCCTTTATCTCCCACTTTTGAGTATTTCAACCTCTACATTAAGCTACTTTTTTTCTTAAACAGGCAACATTTTTTGGGGACGGGACCATATTTTCATTTAGTAAGTTCCACTTATTCTGTTTTAACTGAGGGAGTCTGGGCATTGCTCTCCGTCTCCCGAAGAGACACATAAAGCATTGCATATACGTACTTATACTGATCCACTGTCTCTCTAACACTCTTTTTCAAGCTAGTAGCTTGTGTACTAGTTCAAGGAGTAATTGGAAATCCTGTGAAATAAGCTTATGCCCTTCTTTGCTGAGAGTTAGGTAAGATGATACCACTCTTATGCCTGCCTGGTAAATATGAAGCTAGTTAGCGTAGCTTACCATGAAGAATGGGAAAGGAAAACAGCTAGCCTTGCTCTCGCCGAAGATATGCAAGGTAAGTGAGCTTTAGAGATGCTCGAAGGTGGATTTTTTCCTCTGCACTCAGCCAGGCCAGCCCCCTTGCTTCCAGCCTTTTATGCTAAGCTAAGCTAACAGTGGCTGCAACTTTATATTAAGTGGAACAAATATGTGAGTGGTATTGATCTTCTCATCTAATTCTTGGGGAAAAAATTAACAATTGTTTTACCTAAAATGTTGAACTATATGTCTTAACTGTGTTGAACTAACTAGGTTGCTTCAGAGATTATCCCGTTCCCAAATTCATCTTTCTGTGACCCTCTTTCTTCCTTCACTCCGTGACTCTCTCTAGCTCCCAGACCCAGTGCGAACATACCTGCTGGAGCTGTTTGAGCAGTATGTGGAGAACGGTCTTCAGTTCGTCTGGAAGCATTGTACCCAGGCTATTCGCCAGGTGGACATTAGTAAAGTCACCACTCTTTGCTCCCTGCTAGAGGCACTACTGCTGGGTGAAGGAGGGCCAGACCTTAAAATGGTAAATTAAACACAAGGTCCCTGAGGTCTATTTGAGTTCTGTCTATGGTGCTACAAAGGGAGCGGTCTGTTAGGACATTTTTGCGTAATAATTCAGCATTGTGATCAGAAATATTGAGTGTTATAGTGGGCAAGGTAAAATGACAAAAGGCAAAGGGACCTCTGCTAAACCACACGACACCAGTACCATATAAATGATTGAACCCCACTTATACATACATTGACAAAAGCATAATATAGGCAAATGTAGGCCCTTACTAACTGAGCTTCTTCCTCTGTTTGTTTTTGTGTGTGTTGGTGTCAGGATTCCACGGATCTCAACAGCGTATTATGTCAGACCTTTATATTTTGCTATCTGTGGGCAGTAGGCGGCAACCTGACCACTTCATACTGGGATGCTTTTGATACTTTTGTCAGAGAGCAGTTTGAAGACAACAGCAATGCTATGGTATATACATTCTGTATGCACACCCCTACACAAACAAGCAGAGATAGATGGACAAGATGGATAACATAACAGAAACTACCACCACTAACAGAGTAAAATGAGTTTCTTTAATGTCTGATGTCTAATGTTTTATAGCTAATGGCATACAGTTTAATTTTTTAAAATTAATTTCTTTATATTGGTCCAGTCCAAATATGTCCATTAACATGTATTCATTTGTGCTGTTTAGCTCCCGAAGTATGGTACCCTGTGGAATGTCTACATGAACTTTAACTTCAAGCTCCTGGCACAATGGGAGTTGATAATCCCTTCATTTAAATACAGTCGGGAGCAGCCCTTTTTTGAGATGCTGGTCCCTACCACAGACACTGTCCGCTATGGCTACCTGATGGAGAAACTGCTATCTGTGCGACGTTCTGTACTCTTCACTGGCGACACTGGAGTGGGCAAGGTAAGGATTCATGGATACAGTAGAAAAAGCTTTTGAAACAAATGGAACTTTGGGTGTTAGTAATTTGTGTCAGCACTGAAGTATTTTTATTTGTCTGTCCTGTACAGTCAGTGGTGGCACGGGGCCTTCTTAACAGTATCCAGGAAAGTGCAGGATACCTTCCGGTCTACATCAACTTCTCGGCTCAGACCTCCTCCGCCCGCACGCAGGAGATCATTGAGTCCAAACTAGAGAAAAAGAGGAAAAACATTCTGGGTATTGGCTCACAGTTGCATTGCCACAAAATCATATTGTCATACAGTCATATTGCAACATAAGGGTAATCTTTAAAAAAAATGGTTGGCAGTAATGTGTAGTAGGCTAAAACATGCAAAACCACTGCTATGGTCCTTGATGAGACCATTCATCAAGCCATCTGTTCATACAGTTAACCTTCACTATTCTGCTTTTACAGTCCACCTACATATTGCCACCTTGTCCATATGTCACTGTGTACCCATTTCTCCCTCTCTCTTCATCCTTTACCTTTTCTCTCCCTGTAGGTGCTCCTGGTAACAAGAAGTTAGTGGTCTTTGTGGATGACCTGAATATGCCTAAGCTGGACAGTTATGGCTCTCAGCCCCCTATAGAACTCCTGCGTCAGTTCCAGGACTTTTCTGGCTTCTATGACAGAAACAAGTTCTTCTGGAAGGAGATCCAGGTATAAATGTATACATGTAAGATGAGCTACATCCTATTGGTGCATTCGACAAAAGTGATTATATATGTACATACAAAAGTTAGTTTCCAGCCCTAAATGTCCTCACGTATGGGCTGATCAGTAGTAGTATCTGAATTTGAATAGAATAGTTTGAATTTGTATTGTTTAACTTGAATAGTTGTATTAAAAAACTGAATCTGAATAGAATAATTTGAAATTTTATTTAGTAGTTTGAAACTGAATTCCAATAAACTTGAAACTGAATGTAATATTGTAATACTGAAACTGTATTTAAGCCTCACTAAAAATTCAACTCTTTATGTACTTTCACTTTCAGTTCTCTCTATTCAAATTCACTTCTCTCACATCAATTTTAATTCACAAGTTTCAGTTTCAAGGTCAAAGACAGTTCAAGGTTCTTCAGGAAGAGAAATCGAATGCAGATCAATATATGAACATTTTGAGCATTAAACAGTTAATTTCCTGCATTCTGGTGAATTCTTCAGCACCAATTTATGGCGGAGATGTTTTTATTTATGTAAAAGGAAACACAAAATTCACGTGGCAGGCAACAATTCAAAATATAACAATATAATGCAGTCCAGCTCTCAGGCCTTCTGAAATTCTTTCAGATATGTTTCTCCTGCTGAGTCAGCACACATGCAGACATGATTTAGTCTTCCCTCCTCTTTTGAGTCTTTGTTTAGGGAAGTAACCTCTTTAAATGTGATTGTGGCACCTTTTTACCTCAATGATAAATTAGTTCATTTTAATTCAATTATAAAGTCCTTGACTTTAATAGCTCCTGTGTTTCAGCATGTGTTAAACTTCAGCACCTCCGATAAAGTGCAGCTCACAGTTTCAAACAGAGCCTGCGCCTCTGTTTTTAGATGTTTATATTGCAAAACTCTACCGGTGATCATAAAGGGATGGACATGGTCAGCAACAATACACAGGTAGGTTGTCATGTTGCTCAATTGGTACTGAGGGGCCCAAAAGTATGCCAAGAAAATATCCACAACAAGGCATTTTTGTCCACACAACTGCTGCTCACTGGATATTTCTTTATCTTTATCGGACCATTCTCTGTGAATCCTAGAGATGGTTGTGCGTGAAAATCCCAGTAGATCAGCAGTTTCTGAAATACTCAGACCAGCCCGTCTGGCACCAACAACCAAGCCACGTTCAAAGTCACTTAAATCCCCTTTCTTCCCCATTCTGATGCTCGGTTTGAACTTCAGCAAGTTGTCTTGACCACGGCTAAGTGCCTAAATGCATTGAGTTGCTGCCATGTGATTGGCTGATTAGGTATCAGCGTCAACAAGCAATTGAACAGGTTGGAAATGGCTGGTGAGGGTGTATAAATGTAAGTACATTAATGCAGAGTTATCTGTTTTTATTGGAGAAGAAAGAGTTATATTCAGGGAGGAAGTGTGTACGTGATTCTCATCTGGAAACAAAAATTAACTGTTGTAATCTCCCTGTGTGGTACTTTTTTAGATTAAAGTTTAAGTTAGGATATACTATATATCAAGTTCAGAATAAAAAGTCCATGGCTTAACATTTGTGTTTCTACCTATTAAAGCCACAGTCAGTGCAGCACGAGGCAGTTAGAGACAGAGGGAATGCATTTTGCAGTCTGACCATTTCTGTATCTCCCTGTGGTGTGGTATTCCACTACCACCAGCTCAAATGGAGAATCTTACTTTCACTGCCAACATGTGTCTCAATTTTTTCCCTCAGGAGAGAAAAAATATGCATATTGACCTAGTGGATTTTTGGAATCTTAAGAAAAGCTAATACAGTTATTTAACTATCTACAGCGTTTCAGATGCTGAAATGTCCGACTTAAAAGCAGTAGACATATTCTTGTAGTTTACAGATCAGATTGAAGCGAGACAGACAAGCTAATCTGAAACTTAACTTTTTTCTGTACTGTATTTGCATACATGCAGTTTGCTAGAATTTGCATTGATAAGTTGTCGTCATGTAAAGAATTATTTCCAGCTAGATGCTTATCTTGTGCTGAAACAATTAGTCAACCAACTGATTAGTAGATTGAAAGTTCTGATGGTCTTATAATGACTTAGATAATTTTTTAAGCATTCTCTGGTTCCAACTTCTCAAATGTGAGGATGTGCTGATTTTCTATATTTTATATGATCGTGAATCGTTGTCTGTTGGACAAAGCAAGTGACATCAAGATGTCACCTTGGGTTCTGGTTCACTTTATACACTAACTGAAATGATTAATAGAGAAGATAACAGGTGAAAATAATTGTTACTTGCAGCCCTAATATTTTCCCACACCTTCAACATGTGTGTTTGGTCATGCACCCGATGTCAGCTGGGATTGACTCCAGCCCCCCCGCGACCCTGTACGCAGGATAAGCGGTTGACGATGAATGGATGGATGGTGTTTGGTCCTGCAGGATTCTAATCCCATTTCAGTTTTGTAACTGGAGACACTTGATGAAGTTTCTAATGGGAGTTGTTTAGCTTTTCTTGCTATTCCTCTCTTTTGAATTTTGGCAAACCGTCTTTCATTTCTACTCTTCCTACATTCTGCCTGTCCCCCAGGAAATGACCATTGCTGGAGCGTGTGCTCCTCCAGGAGGAGGGCGCAATCCAGTGACCCCCCGGTTCACCCGCCACTTCAGCATGCTGTGTCTTCCCACACCTTCGGAACACAGCCTCAAGCGGATCTTCAAAGTGAGGAGACGCACACTCTCAAACACATGTGTCAAAACAAAGAATTGTGGTACCTTACCACATATCTGGATCGATAAGAAGCCACACACCTATTAACAGACAGGTGCTTTTCCTTAGACGTTACGCATTGCTGAAAAACTTTACTCATCATAAATCACTTTTGAATCACAGTTCAGAAACGTTATTATGTGGCAAAGGCGTAATGTTCATGTACTTCTCTAGGATATCCAGCTCTTACTCTTTCTCATTTCTCCATTTCACCCCACTCCCCACTATTCATATTCTTTAATCACACTTTATTTCTTCTTTCATGCTTGTTATTATCTCTTTCAGGCCATCCTGAATGGTTTCCTTAGTGAGTTTTCCCAGGCGGTGAAGGACTGTGCCGGTCAGATTGTGGATGCTGCTGTTGAGATTTATGACCGTTTGAGTGTGGATCTGCTGCCCACTCCACCTAAGTCCCACTATGTCTTCAATCTCCGGGACCTCTCCAAGTGTGTGCAAGGTGAGCCATGAGCACACATTAGGATCAGCCCGTTGGACACCCAGGACAGAACCCTAACTACTAACAGCCCCAAACTCAGTTAAGGAGCTGGGCTTGCATGCGGTTTCTTTCTAAATACTGCTCACTAGGTGAATTGTAGCACCACATGGGCGTGCCACTTATGTGTACTATCTTGTACTCAGATATGTTTCTGCTTGCAGCCCTTAAAATGCATTTTGAATTGACACTTAGGACTTGACATGAGCAGTGGGTTGGTTTTTTGCGTGGCATTTGCATTTCCAGGAACAGGCGATTGGTTCACCAAAGATGCATTTTAATGTGAAGCATATACACCCTCTATTTTCCTAGACTGCACAAACTAAACTGTAGCTGTGCTGAAAGAGACTGACAGACACAAAGAGTCAAAATCATTGTACTTCCATAGCCGGGGCCACATTACCAACACTTATAAGCTCTGTCTTATCCTCATGCTCCCAAATCGTCTGCACCATCTGCCTTCTTTTCTCTCTCCAGTCCTCTCTTCCATTACCCAGAAGACATCCATATTGCACAAAGATGAGCTCAAGTGGCTTCTACGACCACGTGCTTAACATAGCTAGAGTGCATTGTTTACCACAGAGTGTCAGCTTGGCCAGTGGCGTAGCCGGGTCATTGTTAGTGGAGTTTTCTATTTCTAGTAGCTTATTTCTTATTTGAATATTTTAATTTTACCTAATTTTATTGTTATTTTACTGTTTACTCACTAACTGAATCGTCTTCCTTTCCCTTCAGTTCCCTTTTCCCCACACTCACACACCTCTGCTGCTTGTCCCGCCTCCATCTCTCTCTCGATGTTTGTGGCCCAGCCCAAGTGAAGTCTATGTGTGGGAAACAATGGAGTGCATTACTCAAACACAGCTCCCTTTAGCAATAGAAACTGTTGTTGAGGGTAATAAACCACCCACTCTTCCCACTTTCTTATTATGCTGGCATCACATGGTTTTTCTGTACACAGCGGGCCAGATTTAGAAGGTTTGCATGAGTAAAAAACGTGTGCAAACTTGATATCACCAGCAATTTAACACGTAAGCTTTCTTTCAAAAGTGCAAGATAGCACCTGTTGTTCATTTACTACTTTTGCCTTAATGAATATGCAGTTAGCATATTATGCAAATACATTTATTTTCTACACACAATGTGATCTAACAAGCCTACCAGCAATTTCATGTGAGTGCAACAGCATCTGTATTTAATATGTTTGAAAGGAAGGTGCAAACCACCAAGTGTTGCGCAGAGATGGCTGCTGTTATCGTTGTGAGAAGGAGACACAGCCGTAATGAAAGAACACGTAGAGAAATTAACAATATTAGATAATATTATTCTATATCCAATATATAGAAATAAAATTATTTCATTTTATTTATTCGATGAACTATACGAATTGAATTATTTCTTTGTATTTTCCTTGAAGCTTTGGCAATACTGTTGTATTAACATTCATGCCAATAAAGCAAATTTCGTTTCGACCTGACTTCTTTTCTCCATGAGATGGAAGAATTTAGAAAGTTGTGTGGCGCTGCGGAGAGCCCCCAGCTGCAGTAGTGCATGGATCACACGTAAAATTCATCCAGCCAGAGGGAACGATCACCAGCTGTTCTCAGCGCGCCGGTCGTAATAGCGACACAACCCACTGTAGGTATCGGAGAGGGAATGTGGCGTTGGGGAGTACGGGGCCAGAGCCAGGAGTTCGCGGAGCGACAGGTCACAGTGCGGACGGTCTGTGATTGTTCCCTCTGGCTGGATGAAGCATGACCTGCCTGCATTTCCTTGCGTCTCGGTCATTCCTGCACACTGCATCTGTTTCTGCTGGGGTTTGCCAAAGCAGTGCTTAGTGCAGTCTTAGGCAGGATGGGCAGGTACATACGATTTCTGCATACTGGCGCTCTGAATGAAACAAACCAAGGTTTTTACGCAGTGGCTGCTTTCCCTCCCGACTCTTCATGGCAGAAACCATTAAAACACGCAAAACCCTCAGTTAAATACTGCTACCTCCATTGTGTTTGCTCCTGTTGTCATCAACGCAATAATTCTTAGTTGATCACCCATAACAGGTACTACAATTGCTCATGTGATATTTTAGAATGCACACGCATTCTTGATTTGAAGCATGAGCATGTGAGCAGCAGAAAAGACACTTCTGGCTGTATTTTTCACCAAGCCCCTTGTTTCACACAGGATGTCTAAAACACACACACACACACACACACACATATTACTGTATACACAGAAAGACACACATAATTTAAAGTTAGTGTGGCTAAATTTCAATCCATCTTCCCCTCTCTGGATATCCAGGTATGCTGCAGTGTGAGCCGAGTCAAGTGAGAGACAAGAACCAGATCTTCCGTCTCTTCTGCCACGAATGTCAGCGAGTGTTCCACGACCGACTCATCAACAACCAAGATAAGACCTATTTCAACACCATCATCAGTGATATGGCCAGTAAGAACTCTGTCCCCGTCCCGATGGTTCACTTTGTTAAGTGCACAAACTGGTTGAATCCTGCACATCGGACTACCAAGTGTTGTTCTACCAATTTTCCACTTATTTTGCATCTTTACTGGTTTAAGAATACTCGTCTTTTTGACCCTCTCTCATTCTGCCAGGCAAGTATTTTAGCATTAACTTGGAGCCCTCATACTTTATGACTCAGCCCATTATATTTGGGGACTTCATCAAGGTCAGATTCTTAGAGAGAATGCTTTATAAATTCAGAAAACATTAGATTTATGTTTACACTGAAATAGCTCAAATGTATTTATTCGCTTTGCTGTCCATGTAATAATCCCTGTAGGTGGGGGCAGAGAAACAAGATCGTGTGTATGAGGATCTGACAGACATGGATAAGATTCAGGCTATTCTCCAGGACTACCTCGATGATTACAACATGACCTTCTCCAAGGAGACCAAGCTGGTTTTCTTCCAGGACGCCATTGAGCATGTCTCCAGGTGTGTACATTCGAACATTGCTATTTAAATGGCAGACGAATGGCACGTTATAAAATCCATCAATTGATAAAAAAAGTGTGATGCAGACACTCAGCAAAGAGAGATAGAAAGCTCATGTGGACGAGCCAGAGTGGTACGTACAGAAATGTATGTACAGTTTTGTGGTTTATCAGTGTATGAACTACATTGCAGACTGGAGTCTTTGTTAACAGTGACAGAACGCAGAACATTCCTGGCTGATCTTGTCGGTGTGCCTGGACTTTTAAATGATCAATGACAGGTAGAGGACACAGGAGCAGGCAGATGAAGTAGGTGATATTTTATTAACAGGAACAAACTGAGGAACACAGGCTTACTTACTGCGCACATACAGCATGTGGTGCGGTCCACACATGTCTTACGTGAATGACTAATCATTCATGCAGCACACCTGGACACACCACCGCTCACTGAACAGATCTCTGGCTCACTGCCACAAACAACTGTCTCCACCTGCTGGCATGTAAAGCCGTCTGCTCCCAGCACTGTTCCACAGACTTCTATTCCTGTCATCATCACGCATAGACCAGTAAACCGAAATGTGCACATCCAACACAGAAATAATAGTAATCTCTTAAGGATTAGGACAACTGCACCAACTCCAGCACCCAGAACAAACTCATTTAAAATGGCTCTCTTCAATGTGAGATCACTTTCAAGTAAGACTTTTATCTTAAATGATTTTATCTTGTCTGCAAATCTAGATTTTATGTTTTTAACTGAATCCTGGTTGCAAATGAATGACTATAGCCAGCTAGCTGAACTGTGTCCGCCTCAATATGATTGTTTTAGTCAACCGAGGGTCAGTGGTCGTGGTGGTGGGCTAGTGAGCGTGTATAGGAAAAATTTTAAATGTCATCAAGTACGCTGTGATGAATTTAACTCCTTTGAAGTTCTCACTCTTAAAGTTGGAGGGCTGCAACCTATCATATTTGTTATAATTTATCGCCCCCCAAAACCGCCTGGAGGATTTTTATCAGAACTTCCTGAATTTTTATCTACTCTGGTTTTAAATTATGACAGAATTGTTCTTTGTGGCGATTTTAATATTCATGTTGATGACCCCAACAATGTTAATGCAACTGACCTTTTAAATATGGCCACTTCTTTTAACTTCAAACAACATGTCAAAGGGCAAACACATAACCGTGGTCATACACTGGACTTGGTTTTTACCCTGGGTGTCAGCATTTCCTCTGTGGAATTAGTGGACATGACCATATCTGACCACAGATGTATTGTTTTTAGCTGCGATTCGCCTGTTACTCATGCTGCCTCACCAAGCTCCGTGTGTTGTCGCATCTTTAATGAACAAAGTGTTTCAAAGTTTTGCGCATTCTTTCAGAGCCAAAGCCAACACCTGTCTGATTCCAACACCAATAATCTGGTCAATCACTTCAATCATATCTGCTTGTCGTCACTAAATATTACTGCTCCTCTAAAGGTTAGGCCTACGTCTAAAGCTAGTAAGCAACCCTGGATAAATGACAGCATTCGCAGCCTCAAAAGGGAATGCAGGAAAGCAGAGCGCAGATGGAAAAAATCCAGTCTCCAAGTCCATTACCTCAGTCTGAAGGATTTATTAATTAACTACAATAAAATGGTTAAGGATGCGAGAACACACTATTTTTCCGAACTCATTACTACACATAAACACAATCCCAGGTTTCTGTTTAAGACTGTGGATCAGCTGGTAAACCCAATCCCTCCTTGTGCCTCAGCTGGAAGTAATGATGACTGTGAATTGTTTTTATCTTATTTTACCAATAAGGTGGTGTCAATCAGAGCCTCTATTACCCCTGTGGACTCTTACTCAGAGGTCCCTCACCAGCAACAACAGAGTTTTAACCAGTTTTATCCCATCGACTTGTCTGAGCTTTTAAAAACAGTATCACAAATGAGAGTGTCCTCCAGCCCACTTGATATAATACCTACAAAATTTTTACTGAAAGTAATAGATTCTGTTGGGCCCCATTTGATCTCTGTTTTCAACAGCTCCCTATCTACTGGTTGTGTCCCTGATTATTTTAAAACAGCTTGCGTGAACCCACTTTTAAAGAAACCTGGTTTAGATCCCTCCCTCCCACATAATTTTAGACCAATTTCAAAACTGCCTTTTATTGCAAAGATTCTAGAAAGAATTGTGTCCAAACAGCTGCTCACTGTGCTGGAAAATAACAAATTATTTGAAAAGTTTCAGTCCGGTTTTAGGAAGTACCACAGCACTGAGACTGCCCTGCTTAAAGTCACCAATGACCTTTTAATGTCTGCTGATGAAGGTATGTGCTCAGTCCTGGTACTCCTGGACCTTAGCGCTGCTTTTGACACCATTGATCACAACATCATGTTAGACAGACTGAGGCACTGGGTGGGGATCTCTGGTACTGCTCTAGAATGGTTTTCATCCTACCTGTCAAATAGGAAGTTTTGCGTGTCTGTAAACAACTATGTCTCCTCATTCTGTCCAGTTAAATATGGTGTGCCTCAGGGGTCGGTCTTAGGACCCATTTTGTTTTCCTTGTATCTGCTTCCCCTTGGACATATTATCCATAAACATGGCATTTCTTTTCATATTTATGCTGATGACACACAAATATACTTGCCCGTCAGATCCACAGACCCTGGAATGCTGAGTTCACTTAACAACTGCCTTTGTGAAGTTAAAAAATGGATGTCAAATAATTTCCTCCAGCTGAACTCAGACAAAACAGAAATCCTGGTCATCGGGTCTCAGCAGATGGCAAATCAAATACTGCCATCTGCTGGTTCCCTAGTAAATCACATTAAGCCTGTGGCAAAGAACCTTGGTGTTTGGTTTGATAGTAATTTAAATTTCGAGCAGCACACTACAAAGCTTGTTCAATCATGTTTTTATCAACTTAGAAATATAGCTAAAATTCGATCTATGTTAACTTTTAAGGACACCGAGACCATTTTACACGCCTTCATCTCATCACGCCTGGATTATTGCAACAGCCTTTTCACCTGTTTAACCCAAAAATCTATTGATCGACTCCAGACTGTCCAGAACTCAGCTGCCAGGCTTTTAACCAGAACAAAGAAATATGACCACATTACTCCTATTTTAGCTTCATTACACTGGCTCCCAGTATGTTTTAGAATTGACTTTAAAATTCTATTGATCACTTTTAAAGCTCTTCATGTCCTCTCGCCTTGTTATATTTCTGACCTTTTAGTCCCATACGCACCAGCACGTACCTTGAAATCCTCGGGCAGAGGTCTGTTGTCTGTTCCAGAGTCTCGACTGAAAACTAAAGGGGACAGAGCGTTTGCTGTCAGGGCCCCGAGGCTCTAGAACACCCTGCCCGAGGAAATCAGGTCGGCTGAGTCGGTGAACTCTTTTAAGTCCCTTCTTAAAACATACTTTTATAGGAGAGCTTTTCCCGATCTTATTTGACTTTATTTTATCCCTTTTATTTTATTGTATTTACTAATTTTATATTAAATTTTCATGCTCTTATCTTTTTTGTATTATTCTTTACACTTGTTAAAGCACTTTGTAACTTGTTTTTGAAAAGTGCTCTACAAATAAGGATTATTATTATTATTATTATTATTACTTGCAGGCACGAAAAGAATAGGAAGCAAAACTAGACACAGACAGCAAATGCAGAAAACTTCAGAATAAAACAGGAAACAAGGCCAGACGCAGACACATGGAGTTAACAGACAGGACACTCATAGACTGTAGGTGTACGTGAGATGGACGCCTGAACATACCAAGACTAGAATGCAGAAACAGATAAGGACACGGACACAACAGACTGATAAAACCAGAACAAATGGCAATGGACCAGGATGAAAAAAACAAAACACAGAATACATGTAAAACCTAAAAGGAAAACAATAAACTATTAACCAGAAACCCCAAAATAAGATCAGAAATCCCCAAACCATGACAACGAAGTTACACTGCTGTGCCACATGCAGAAATGCGCGCAGAGTCTCTCTTGATGGAGAGACTCTCCACAATATTTTTTCCCACCTACTATTAATCTGAACATCAATTTTTATGACCAAACCCACCCGACCCACAGATAAAACTGCGCTCATCATTAGAACCCACTTATGCAGGTGCATCATACTATCTGAGTAATGTGCCTTTTAAATAGCAGGAAAATACTGCGCCATTGGCAAACACCAGTGTTGTATCAAGGCATATCTCTCTGCACACGTTTGTTCTTTACCAGTAAAGATGATTAGTGAGCAGGTAGGTCTCAATAAACTCACATGGCATGGAACTTGTCACCTGTATAACCACAACATTCAATTTATTTTTTTCTTTCTTTCCTTCTAGGATTGCCCGTATGATTCGCCAGGAGAGAGGCAATGCCCTGCTAGTGGGGGTGGGAGGTACAGGCAAGCAGTCACTCACTCGGTTGGCAGCTCACATGTGTGGGTACCGTTGCTTCGAGATTGAACTGAGCCGAGGCTATAACTATGACAGCTTCCATGAGGACTTGAGGAGGCTCTACAAGATGGCTGGTGTGGAGGCCAAAGATATGGTCTTCCTCTTTACGGATACTCAGGTATGATGGAAGATCTCCGATGACGTGAAACTGATAAACATTTGGAAGCCTGCTGATTGTTCTTTTGTTTTTGCACATCCAATTATATATCCTCTTGTAGATTGTGGTGGAAGAGTTTTTGGAGGATATCAACAACATGCTGAACTCTGGCGAGGTGCCCAACCTCTTTGAGAAAGATGAGCTGGAACACATACTAGCTGCCACCCGCCCTAAAGCCAAAGAGGCTGGAATCAGTGAAGAGAACAGGGACGAGGTATACACAGACACAAACACTTCCTGTAGAAAAGTAAAAATGCAGCACTGTATATATCTACAACATGAGCAAATGATTGGAAAGTTGCAAAAATTCTGTGAGTGTCAGTGAGACAGACTTTTTTCTTGACACACACAAACAATACCTACACAGTCAGCAACAAAATGTGTTATTTAAACTGATTTCTACGTAGTTACAGATGAAACCGATCTCATTTTAGAGATGGTCTTCTCTGTTGAACATTGTTTTCATTTGTTGATTAAAACTGAGTTCTCTGTGACAAATAATACCAATATTTCTTCAGTGAGATGTGATGTTGGAAGATGATGTGAGGAATTTTGGTGAAGACTTCAGAACTTTGAATGTCCAGACTCTACCTAGAACCTATGATGATGGCAATTATATACCTAACTAATGTGTGTGTCTATTTCTAATCAATAAATATGTGTGATGTACGGAAAGGAATAGTTTAACATTTGGGGAAATTTCACTTTCTTACCATTATCATGTCTGTCTAAATATGAAGCCAGAATCTTAATTAATTACCGGGATAGTTTCTTAGATGTAGCCCATCTGTAGTCTATAATTGAATTCTCCTAAGTGTTTTCACATATTTAGATTTAGGGTTTTAGGGTCGGGGGTTAATAACCGAGAAAAAAAATCCTAGATGAAAGTGTGAAATTTACAAGAAGAAAAAAATTCCCTGAAATTAATGTCATAAAAAATCAAAAATCACTCTGTTTTCCCTCTGAATACGCCCAATCCAAGGCAAAGTCTCTAAAGCGCATGATAGTGATTGTGGGCTAAACTCAGGAGTATTTCCTCAATGCTAAATCCAATGGCAAAATTTTGTGCATGCATACTACACGGTAGACGTGTGTGTTTGATGTTGCAGCTTCTCTCATAAATGTGTGACTATAATGTCGGAGAATATTCAAGTTTTTTATTTGTAGATTAATCATGGAAAATTAAATTCTGTCTCGGATTATCACCCCTCTTGGCTGGCTCTTTTTTTTTACAGTGGACCTTATGTGCAGTTGGTTAACGCGGATTCAACCTTCCACCTGTGTTTTTGAGGGCGTGTCGGACTAGCCGCATTTTGCTGTGTCGTCACAGGGATCAAAGGAAAGCAGCTGGACTACAAACAAGCTGTTTTCAGGCAGTTCAGAGCAGTGTTTTCTGTGGGAGATGGGAACTCCCTTTGGGCCTGACTTTGGGCTTTTTCACTTTGCAAACCTATTAGACACAAAAAAGGAGAGGGAAAAACACAAAAAGTACAATACCACCTCTTTTAAATGAGCACTCCCAAGTGAGCTGTAAGAATATATTAGGCTATAATCTTATGTGCCAGCTGAGACCGAACTTCCAGAAGTTTAGAATCTCTACATGTGTTTGGTCTTCAGGGGTTTCAGTTTTTCATCTCTCGTGTACGGGAGAAGCTTCACATTGTGCTGTGTATGAGTCCCGTGGGCGATGCCTTCAGGTCCCGCTGTCGTATGTTTCCCTCATTGGTCAACTGCTGCACCATTGACTGGTTCGTGCAGGTATGCTGAGCTAGCTCTCCTTTTTCTGACCATGTCCAGTCAGATATGATTACTCACTTTGATTTTATATTATTATCTTATATTATGTATAGAAAGCCATTAAATATAAATACAATTATTCTAACTGGTACAAACATATTATAGGGATCATCTACATGTTTGTTAGGACTAGACCACAGCAACATTTGTCAATTTGTTCATTCATTTGTGGAAGCTTGTAAATGTGTCTCTCTTTCTCTTGCTGTTCTGTTGCATTCCACTCTTTGCTCTTTTCCCCTGTACCCCGTGGTGCGCAGTGGCCTCGTGAGGCGCTGCAGTCTGTCTCTGAGACCTTCTTCCAGAATGTGGACTTTGGCAGTGAGGAGCTGAAGCAGAGCTTCTCGACCATGTGCGTGGAGATACATGTTAGTGTCACTGACATGGCCGAGCGCTTCTATTCAGAGCTGAGACGCCGATACTACACCACGCCTACCTCCTACTTGGAGCTCATCAACCTATACCTGTCCATGCTAGAGAAGAAGAGACAGCAGCTAGTGCTTGTAGGTTTAACTATCAAAGCTCATGAGCAGTTATCAAGTCATTTCTACATTGTGAAGAGGAAGTTGCAGCTAGTGTTCTTTGTGATCATTTTATTTGTGGTTGAGGCTGTCTTGTATTGTAGATTATGTCTACATGTGAAATATGCCTAATCTATCTGTGTGTCAGGCCAGGGACCGTGTGAAGAACGGTCTGACCAAACTGCTGCAGACCAATGAGCTTGTGGACAAAATGAAAGTGGACCTGTCTGATCTGGAGCCAATCCTTAAACAAAAATCCATAGATGTTGATGCCCTCATGGAGAAACTGACTGTAGACCAGGAGAGTGCTGACAAGGTCTGTGTGTGTGCATGTGTCTTAGAGAGAGATATGGTAGCGTTATCACAGGACTTTCAAAAATGTGTCTATTGTCTCCTATGAGGTGCTGGGAAAGCATAATAGCCTTTTCTCGTTGCTATAGTGTATGTGTATGTATCATACAGAAACATATCCTTGCCACAGGTGCGTAAAGTAGTGAAAGAGGATGAGGCTTTGGCCAAGGTCAAAGCTGAAGACACCCAGGCCATAGCCGATGATGCGCAGAGGGACCTGGATGAGGCTCAGCCAGCCTTGGACAGTGCCAATCAGGCTCTTAATTCTCTCGACAAGGCTGACATCTCTGAGATCAAGGTGTTCACCAAACCCCCAGACCTTGTCATGACTGTCATGGAGGCCGTCTGCATCCTGCTCAACTACAAGTCAGTGAGCTTCTCTTTCATGACTAAAAAACAAGACTTTTTTGATTTGAGAGCTACAGTATCTCACAAAATTGAGTACACCCCTCAAATTTTTGTAAATATTTGATTATATATTTTCATGTGACACTGAAGAAATTACACTTATAATGCTATAATGTAAAGTAGTGAGTGTACAGCTTGTATAACAGTGTACATTTGCTGTCCCCTCAAAATAACACATCACACAGCCATTAATGTCACAAATGTGAGTACACAAGTGAAAGTGCCCTTCTCTTACCAACTGATAATCAATCACTATTATTATTAACACAATCTTCACTAATTATGGCACATCCCAATAATCTAAACAGGGATTAATTGTTCCAGGCTGCGGTTGTTAACTCGTGCACCATGTACAGTAATGTGTAACAACCGGCCAAACTCCAATTGAAATCAGCTTATCATTTTTAAAAACATGTATTCCATCCTTACATAAACTAAGCCACACACTCACACTTATTAATAGGCTTTTTCTTATTCTTGTCTTATTTTTTCACAAACATCTCTTTCTCCTTACAGACCAGACTGGGCTGGTGCCAAGCAGTTACTGGGAGATGCCAATTTCCTCAGGCGCCTGACAGACTATGACAAAGACAATATCAGGCCTCAGATCCTGCAGAAGCTGCAGAAATACATCAACAACCCTGATTTCTTACCTGAGAAGGTCTGTTTGGACTCTCATATGTCAGTCAGATGTTTGGAGATTATGGTGAAATTGTGGTGAAACAGAGTTTGGATTGAAACTGGAAAATAACTTCTTAAGTTTCTATTATGACATGTATGCTACTGAAATGAACTATGCAGATTTTTATGATGGCATGAATTGTCAATAATGTGTGGAGCCTAACACAGTATTAACGTAGGTTATATGTTACTGTGTTGCTGCTGTTAGGTGGAGAAGGTATCAAAAGCCTGCAGGTCAATGTGCATGTGGGTCAGAGCCATGGATCTTTACTCCAAAGTCCTCAAAGAAGTCGGCCCCAAGAGAGAAAAGCTGGCCAAGGCTCAGGTCAGTAACATATAGCAGAGTGCAGTATGCAGACCGGTTTTAATCATATAGATGCACAAATAACAGCTGAATGGATGGTCGTTTACGTAATCTTTAAATCTCAGTGCTGCCTATTTTTGTCAAGTCTATTACAGTCAAAACATTTATCCACTAAACACCAATCCATTCTCTGTTCCCTCTCAGTCCCAGGATATCCCTACATGCATTGGGCCAAATAATGCGAATAAGAAATGCACCCAATATTCTCTAAATGGTTCATTAATACTATTTCCCTCCATCCCTTTTTCCCTCTATTCCGGCCCATGCAGATAGAGCAGGATACAACTATGGCCACCCTGAGGGAGAAGCAGAAAAAGCTTCAGGAGGTGGACAACCAGATCAGGGTCCTAAAGGAGCAGTTTGACAGCAGCATAAAGGAGAAGGAGGATTTGGGTGAGGGGTGTGCCCTTATATATTACCGCCTTGAACTCTACCTGGGTTTTAAACTGCCCAGCCACTGTACATTTTACATGTTCCTGTTGTGTGAAGCTCTCTAGAGTTGGAAATGGAACTTATATGTTTGCTGTTTGCCAGCATTTACCTTGCTGATATTCTTTTTTGCTCTCTCTCTCTTCCTGACCCCTGTGTTTCCTGAAAGTTAACACCATGGCTCTGACACAGGCTCGGTTGACCAGAGCAGGGAAGCTGACTTCTGCTCTAGGTGACGAGCAAGTTCGCTGGGAAGAAAGTGTTGCCTTGTTTGAGATGGAGATCATCAACGCAGTAGGGAATGTCTTCATTGCAGCTGCCTGTGTGGCCTACTATGGAGCGTTCACTTCCCACTATAGACAGCTGGTAGGTACAGTGTGACGAGGTGTGCTTTTAGGACCTATCTGATATGCAGAATGTAGGCCTGTCAGGATAACTACATTATTGACTCATCAAACATGACTTAAATCATTTATGCTGACCTTGCAATACAGTACACTCCGCCCCTTTACATTGTATTGTCTGTACAAAAGAGAATTAAGCCCAATAGATTATGAAAACACACAGTGTTTAATGCACAGTACAGTGATAAGAAAGCCATTAAAGAGGAACAAACCATAAAATGAGCAGGATACAAAGTAGAGTATTAAAAAAACACCTCAAACTAATCATCTTTCAAAGAAAACAAAACAAAAAATAACTATTGTGTCCTCTTTCCCCAGCTAATTGACCAGTGGATAATACAGTGCCAGGACCTGAACATCCCCATCAGTTCCAGCTTCAGCCTGGTCAACATTCTTGGTGACCCATTTGTCATCCGCCAGTGGAACACAGAGGGTCTGCCACGTGACACCGTCTCCACGGAGAACGGGATCCTGGTGACCGAGGGCCGACGCTGGCCTCTTATGATCGACCCACAGGATCAGGTGAACCAGAAACTAGGATCCAGGCAATTCAGTGTGTTTCAATTTCTGTCATGTCTGAGCTTTATAGTCTATCATTCTTTGAGTACAGCTGCTCTCTATTGCTTTATATACATAAGCTTTACACTGAGCTCAATCTCATCCTGTATTGTTGTATCTTTTTCTGCTGCACCACCATTGCTAAAGTTTCCCTTTATTACATCAAGTGCTACCAGCCATTCTTTTTTTTATCACATTAGATAAAGGTTCTTTCTTTCACCCTCAGGCCAACCGATGGATCCGCTCCAAGGAGGCCAAGCATGGTCTAAAGGTGATCAAGCTGACAGACCCCAGCTTTCTCCGTACCCTTGAGAATGCCGTACGCATGGGCATGCCTGTGCTGCTAGAGGAGGTAGGAACACACTAAAAACACTAAAACATGTTTGAGCATAAGGGTAAGTTATAAGCAAAACATTATTCCACAATAATAACTGGGGAAGGTGCACATTTTAATATGTATAATTTACAATTTTGGCATTTCTTCCCATTTACTTCCTTTGATTAAACATACTTTGAACTGTGAGATATTTACTGGACTGTCGTGTTTATTTGTGTGTGAGTCTTCCTGCATTATTGAATTGTGTGTGTGTGTGTAGTTAAAGGAGACCTAGATCCAGCTCTGGAGCCCATCCTAACAAAGCAGACATTTGTGGCTGGTGGACGGACATTGATCCGACTCGGAGACTCAGATATTGACTATGACAAAAACTTCAGGTTCTATATGACCACCAAGATGGCCAACCCACATTACCTACCAGAGGTAAGGACATCAATAAGGAATGAGAGAAACAGAAGCATACAAAACAACCTCTCTGCCATCATTCCATTGTCTGCAGGCTGCATCTCCCAACCGTGCTTATTGTTGTTTTATGATCGGGAGGCTGCACAGGGTATTTTATTGTGAAAAATGACCAGATTCTCTATGCCCTTCTGTGTCTGGTTTCTGGTTGCAGATCTGATAGCTGCATTAATCCCATGTACAGAGAATGACCACACATATATAAGCATACCACAGTCAGATCTGAAAGGTTCAGCTCTACTCCACCTGACATTGTCACCATCTCCTTATCTCTTTTATTAAAAAGAGGGTCAGAATGTTTTGAAGATGATCCACCTTCAGCCTGTTTCTATACAGTACAAAAATATTAAAACACCATGAATGTAAATGCCAGCTTATGGTTCTACTTTGTGGCAGTTTAGGACATGTACACAGGCTGGTGGTATGTGGACTTTTGCGCAGGTAGGCTTCACACAAAAAAAGGCTAGGATGAAGTGTGATCTTCTTGAATATGCTGGGCTCTTGAGAGTATTTGATGTGTGTGTTCCTGTTCAGGTGTGTATCAAAGTTACAATCATCAACTTCACCGTGACCAAGACTGGCTTGGAAGACCAGCTGCTTAGGTGAACACATGCATAGACACACATGAAAAACAAACATTGCATCCTTCCCAAACCACGTGGTTCACATTTACAGACCACTATACTCTATGTACGTCAGTAATGACTATTTGCACTTTGCACTTGCACCTTGACCATAATCTCAGCCTTTTTTGGCCAGTGATCGATTCCTCCACATTCTTTTCTCTACCCCGATCTTCCTGCAACCCCTCTTCCTCCCCTCAGTGATGTGGTGCGTCTGGAGAGTCCACATCTTGAGGAACAGAGGAATGAGCTGATTGTGCGCATCAACGCTGACCGCAACCAGCTGAAAAATATTGAAGACCGCATCCTTAAACTTCTCTTCACCTCTGAGGGGAATATACTTGACAACGAGGAGCTAGTTCAGACTCTCCAGGAGTCAAAGGTAAATCTGAGATCAGGCAAAGGTCATATGGAGGTTTTGTCTTGATCTGTGCTGTTAGTACGCTGAATCTTTCCCACTTACGTTTACCTTGTTATTCTCCTTTTGTCCTGTTCTGTTTCCTACCTTTCCTCTACCACCTCTCTTCTGTTGTTGTTTTGTTGCTGCTCCTCTCTTTCTCTTTTCCATCATTCCACAGGTGACATCAGAGACCATAAAGCATCGTCTGGAGGAGGCAGAGGCCACTGAGCTGATGATCAACTCTGCAAGGGAGTGCTACCGACCCGTAGCCACCCGAGGCTCAGTCTTGTACTTTGTCATCGCCAGTCTCTCTGAGATCGATCCAATGTACCAGTTCTCCCTCAAGTACTTCAAACAGGTGAGAGAGAGTAACCGGTCTTTATATTACAAGCCCCAGACACATCTCCATCTGACCTTTTAAGGTTTTGTTAGGAACACATTATGAAAAGACCCCATGGAACATAATTGTTTTCATCCTGTTCAATTATCTTTCTGTCCCATTCTTCTTTCTCCACCCTCAGCTCTTTAACTCCACCATTGAGTCGTCAGAGAAGAACAGTGTGTTAGAAGAGCGTCTCCAAACCCTGCTGGACCAGATCCTGCTCAACTCCTACGTCAATGTGTCCCGTGGCCTCTTTGAGCAGCACAAGCTAATCTACAGCTTCATGTTGTGTGTAGAGATCATGAAGCAGTGTGGCGAGATCTCAGACGCTGAGTGGCAGCACTTCCTAAGAGGAGCTGCCGCTTTGGAAAAGGTTAGCTGGGAAATCAAGTCAAAAAGTTAATGCTGATAAATTTGCTTGTGTCAGATGAAAATCTGTCGAATGGGATGATGAGGGTGGCTGGAATCAAATTCTTGCTCATGCATTTTTTTTAAATAACGATGCTTCAATGGTGTTCATGGATAATTCATGGTGTTTAGCCAGTCAAGCCAATCAAGTTTTACTTTAAAGTCAACAGCTTTTTTGTAACTAGTTAGTTTCACACTTAACCCACTGCTTTGTTCAGTTGCACCATCTCTTCTATTCTTCTACTCTATGCTATAACTTAACTAAGTTGACTATAGTCATTCTTAGTTTTCACATGACATCACGTCCCAAGGGGAACGCTCCCTTGGAGGACAAAAAAGACGTTATTTTCCGCTGCCCGCCAACTAGGAAGCAAGTGATACACTATTACTTTGGGTTTGTTACTTTTGTGTTGCAAAAATAGTTGTTGTGCTATCGGAGGCACTAATCGATGAGGTATGGAGTAAGGTGTAAGGTGAGGGATCTCCACACGGTAAACGTAAACATCACTGCAGTCATGCTCTGGTTGGAACCTGGAGGTTTTTAACATACGACAGCGGGTGCTGTATATGGATTGCAAGTGCCCAACACTGTGTCCATATCTTTCTTTTTCTTGAGTTGAGAGGTGATCCAAATAATCGTGGGAAGGGAAATTTAACGGGGGAGTCATGTGTGAGCTGCCGTCCTGGTCCCTCCGGGTCACCGCGCACGTCACGTGACTGAAAACTACTAATAGTCAAAAGATTGTTGCAGAGAGTGACATTTCACCTCTCGCATCATTCAGGAAACAGAAACAAAAGACACTAGTGACAGACAGTAAGGGAATTCAGGAACATCTATGAAAGTCTCTGGAAAAATTCCATCTCAGTGAATACTTTTTATTTTTTTTTATATATCAAACTTCTGCCCCAATATGTTCAAAAACACATTACCATGTATGTACAGATCATTGCAGGTCATTGACATCATGTAAAGGGATGTAGTCCGTCAGAGGAAAAGTACAGAGGGAAAGTGTTGGTTCTTCTAACTTTAGTCCTTACCATGTTTCTAACCGTCTTACTTAAACCTGCTTGGGGAAGGTGTCCATTTTTAGTTAATCTTAGCTCTACATCAGTTCAGCTTTCCGGTATTTGAATGGACAAGAAAAGCTCCAGTATTTAGAGTTCTGGTCCTTAAGCAGTCATTATAAAAGCCTTAGAAGCTCAAGATTAGGCCTGTCTTGACAACTTCAGAGGGACTAAATGAGGTCATCTGAACTGAGAGTCTAATTGACCTCAGAATAGTCCAACTTATTTGAATAATCACCTCCTCTCTCTCTCTCTTCTTTCTCCTTCTTCTCTCGCAAACTCCAGTGAGGCAGGAGTGTGTGCAGCTGAGGCACCATTGGTTGGGGTACTAAAGATGGGGAAAAGGTTTTGAGACCTCAAAACAAATCAGCCAGTACCACCCAGGGGTATATTCCTGTGTTCACCCACCGTACGGATCTCGTTATATAAATGGCATTTGTTAAGCTGGAGGTGCTGCCTGCCAGCCGTTGTGATCCTTATGCTAATGTTCTCCTTCCTTTTGCCGCCAATGGCAGCTTCAATGCTTCCATCATCTACTCTCTTGCTAATTTTGAATCCTTTTCATGCCATCACCATCTCTTATCTGTAACATTTACCTTACCGGAGAGGTTTTAAATCATCCTCTCTTTTATTGACATCTCTTAATTCTTTATTACTGCCTCTTGATTCAAGGTCTGTCCTCCATTCTTTTCCTTTATTGTTCTAATCCTCTTCTCCGTCGTTCTCCTTCTCCCAGGACTATGCAGAACGGCCAGATGTTCCATGGCTAAGTGATTTTTACTGGCAGACATGTTGTGAGCTGGAGGACACGCTGCCCTGCTTCAAGGACGTCTCCAAGGAAATCACCAGAACCCACATCCACATCAAGCTAGGTAATACATACCCAGTGCTATGATCCTGGATGATCTAGAATCAGCAGAATAAGTGCATCATGCTTCTGCTTAATTTAAAAGGTAGAATGTTTGGCCTAGTTACAAAACACAATATTTCAGAATATTCAAATCATTCTTCTACCACATAGTGTAGACATTTTATAAAAACACGTATGAACATTTATGTAGCATTAAATGACAGCTATCTCTCCTTTAGGACGTTTTCAAGCATCCATTAATCCAGAGACCTGGGAAGGCTACGTGTCAGAGTTGCCTCCTCTTGGGGAGTCCGAAGAGGTGAAGCAGGAGATCAGAGGTAACTGGAATGAGAGGTTGGGGGCCTTCCAGAAGCTAGTCCTGATCAAGAGCTTCATGGAGGAGAAGGTAAGCCTAGAAGTCCATTGAAGGCTATTTAGTAAGGTATCGGAGATAGTTTGTTTTTAGGTCTACAAGGTAATAGGGGGGAATTGTTGTTCATGTCAGTTGTTTTTTAATAATAAACCCAGCAAATAATTTGCTTATTAAACTAATATCCAATTATGCTGGCCTGCAGCCCTCAGCAAGACCTTGCTAAAAAAATCTTCTCTCCTTTGCACTCCAGACATGCTAGCAACTGTATCAGTTAAGCCTTATATACTCTGCAGTGATGTCCTGTCCTGATAAAAATGACCTATTTCATTTTGTGTCTATATGTTCTTATATTGTCAGTCTTCTTCAGTGCTGTTCCTTTAATGTTTGCCCCTTTCTTACTTGCTGTGTTTCACATTGATGCAGTCTCATCCTCTCATGCACATGCTACGCCCTTCTCTTCTTACTGTGGTATTACTACTTGTCCTCTTTGTCCCATAAGTCTTTGACCTACTTCCTCGCTCTCTTTTCCAGGTGGTGTTTGCAGCAACAGAGTTCGTGATTGTCAGCCTGGGGAAGCAGTTTGTTGAAAACCCTCCAGCTGACCTGGCGAACCTCTACAACGATATGTCCCCCTCCACACCACTGATCTTCATTCTCAGCACAGGATCTGACCCTATGGGTGCTTTCCAGCGCTTTGCAAAAGAGAGAGGCTGTCTTGACAGGTAAAAAATTGTATACAGGCAGTCGGACGTGGGATGGTGGCAGGACAAGGAAGCCATCTGGGTGGAGAGAAGAGGGAGTTTGGTATGATGGTCAGTATATACACTTGTTTACACATTATCACAGGGGCATTTCCATCTATCTCTGCCTCTCAGAGTTGAGTCCATCTCATTGGGTCAAGGCCAGGGGCCGATAGCAGAGAAGATGATCCATGAAGCACTGAAGAGTGGTAAATGGGTCTTTCTGCAGAACTGTCACCTGGCTGTCTCCTGGATGTTGGCCATGGAGGAGCTCATCAAGACCTTCGCTGAGCCAGGTATTCCTACAGTAAAACAGCACCGAAACACTTCCATGTATCTATACAAATGATCACACAAGGACAGAGCATCATGACACCTAGGCAGTTTTCCCAGTTTAATCAATTTCAATTAAGATTTGTACTAGTTATTATTAGATAGCCATGTTTTACAGATGGAAAAATACATCTCTACAGCCACTTTGTTACATGCCACAAGCATGTGCTGTGTAGATGTGCAGGTGTAAAAAAAAGGAGAGTTGTAGGATTTAGTAACATTTCCGTGACTTGTGCTACACAGCTCTAATGTATGGTGTGTTGTAACACCTAGACAATACAGAAAACACTAACCTTTTGTTTTGTGGTTGTTTCCTTGGTTTTTCACAGAAATAATTTGATGCACACTATTCAATGTATTGAGACATTCATTATGTTATTTTTTCTTTATTTTATGGCTTTAAATTATGTTCCTCTCTGTTCCTGTTCAGACACATCAATCCACGAGAGTTTCCGTTTGTTTCTCAGTTCCATGCCTAGCAAAGTATTTCCTGTTACTGTGCTCCAGAACTCTGTCAAGGTAAACACACTCACTGGGCCTCTATATGATCTCATTTTAGTTCAGTTCATTTCATATTAGATCAAAGATCAAATTTAGGTCAAAGACTGCTCTTCAGGTCTAGGACAGGAGTTGTTGCCTTCACTTCCAGTGAGGATCGCATGCTTTTAATTCCATTGGTATTTGTAAGTAAAACTGACGTGACCCAAATTGTAGTCCATTCACAGATCTGTAAATTCACTGGCTAGACCCTCTTCTCATAACGTGCATATTCAGCGGTCACTGAGTCTATTAAGCATTGTACATTAGGATTCAGGCAAAGGTTAAACAACTGTTAAGTTGCTATTTGTTGCTCAAAAGTCTATAAGTCAGGACAAGTCAGGAAGTTGAAATTCATGTTAACTGTACATCAAACTTCAGAATAATAACAATTGTCTCATTTTAACACTGCTATGTTTATGGTCTAAGAATCTTCCACAAATCATTTGTGATCACATCGGCTCTTACTTCTGTTAGTTAGGGTAGTTGAGAGAATGCCACTGGAGCAATCAACAAATAGTGTTAAAAGTGGTTTCAAAGTCTTGGGGAAACATTTGTGAATGATTTAATGACATTCAATGACAATATTTTATCTTTTTATCACTTCATATGTAAGAATATTCTTATCTTAGTACAGCAAAGCTGCAACATTTCAGTGACTGGAGATCTACATACACTCTTAGACCACTGAACTCTTCCACAGTCATCATAGATAATCTTTCCAGTCGCTGTTCTAAAAGTATAAGCAGCAAACAGCAGAATCAGTATCAGGTTTATTAAGTAGCTTTTGAACATACAAGGAATTTGCCTTAACAGTCACAGTAAACATAGTTAAAATATAGAAAATATATGTAAAATACATCTGTTCCAAACTGAAAAAAGCGTACAGCACATCATTTACAAGTTGTGACAATAACCTCTTAAAAGTATGAACATACTATATAATGTAATCTGAGCCCCTAGTTGTTATTAAAACACATTGCTGCCTCAGGTATGTTTGGTCTTCAGTGAAAGAAAATGCAATGGGGTCTAATTTTTCTGTTGTTCTTGGGAGGGAAAACATCAGGGAATGATTTATTCCTGCATGATTTTCCTTTGGCGGATGCTGCTGTGAAATGATGGTCTGCACCAGGGGTTGTTGGCTTACATAACTTATTTTGCCTCTCTCATAAATAAAGTCAAGTACTCTTAATAATGGGCGACAGGATTTTTTAGATTACTTTGCGATATGCATTGTCTGTATATGATATGTAATCTTTGATTTTATCCATTAAATATTTAACTGCTTAACCTTCCTCTCACTATTAGCTGTTTGTGTCTGCAGATCTGCAGGATCAGGTTGTGTCTGCAGTTTAGACCTTACATGACAGTTGATTATGCAGCTTTAAGGCTTAGGGACAAAACAGATGTGATGAGTGGGAAATATATACAGGTTTACACAAGGGCAGTGTGAGCAGGACTCACTGTGGTCTTGTCCTGTGTTGTTGTTGCCAGGTGACTAATGAGCCTCCTAAAGGCCTGCGAGCCAACATGCGGCGGGCCTTCACAGAGGTCACCAGCGATTACTTTGAAGACCACGTTCTGGGACGCCAGTGGAGGAAGATCGTCTTTGGAATCTGCTTTTTCCACGCAATTATCCAGGTTACACAGCCTCTCAAAACCTCACACATGCTTAAAAATGTCCTCTTTGTGTGCCTGTACATGTTTTACTCCCTTGCATGTCGCATGTGTTTGTGTGGGTATGTGCCTGTACTGCTACATATGTCCTTACTTGTGTCTTGCTTTGCATTAGGAGCGGAAGAAGTTTGGTCCTCTGGGCTGGAACATCCGCTATGAGTTTAATGACAGTGACAGGGAGTCTGCTCTGCTCAACCTCAACCTCTACTGCAAAGAAGGCGCCATCCCTTGGGACGCTCTCATCTACATCACTGGTAGGGAAGCCTACTCCCAGGAAGTGTGTGTTTGCATGCAGGTCTTTCTCTAAATACAAGTACAGCACAAGATGATGTAATTGGGGTTGTGTGCGTGTGTGGGTTAGTTTATTTATAGTGTACTGCTCCAATCAATTTTCTATGTATAAAATTGTTGGATTATTAATTGCTGCAAGCATGTAGCCTGGGGCATGTATGTCTTAAATGTTTTAATTTTTCCATAAAATTATATATATATATATATATATATATATATATATATATATATATATATATATATATATATATATATATATATATATATAGTATACAGTGGGTACGGAAAGTATTCAGACCCCTTTAAATTTTTCACTCTTTGTTTCATTGCAGCCATTTTCCAAAAATTAGAAAAGTTAATTTTATTTCTCAGTAATGTACACTCAGCACCCCATCTTGACAGAAAAAAACAGAAATGTAGAAATTTTTGCAAAGTTATTAAAAAAGAAAAACTGAAATATCACATGGTCATAAGTATTCAGACCCTTTGCTCAGTATTTAGTAGAAGCACCCTTTTGATCTAATACAGCCATGAGTCGTTTTGGGAAAGATGCAACAAGTTTTTCACATCTGGATTTGGGTATCCTCTGCCATTCCTCCTTGCAGATCCTCTCCAGTTCTGTCAGGTTGGATATTAAACGTTGGTGGACAGCCATTTTCAGATCTCTCCAGAGATGCTCAATTGGGTTTAAGTCAGGGCTCTGGCTGGGCCATTCAAGAACAGCCACGGAGTTGTTGTGAAGCCACTCCTTCGTTATTTTAGCGGTGTGCTTAGGGTCATTGTCTTGTTGGAAGGTAAACCTTCGGCCCAGTCTGAGGTCCAGAGCACTCTGGAAAAGGTTTTCGTCCAGGATATCCCTGTACTTGGCCGCATTCATCTTTCCCTCGATTGCAACCAGTCGTCCTGTCCCTGCAGCTGAAAAACACCCCCACAGCATGATGCTGCCACCACCATGCTTCACTGTTGAGACTGTATTGGACAGGTGATGAGCAGTGCCTGGTTTTCTCCACACATACCGCTTAGAATTAAGGCCAAAAAGTTCTATCTTGGTCTCATCAGACCAGGGGATCTTATTTATCACCACCTTGGAGTCCTTCAGGTGTTTTTTAGCAAACTCCATGCAGGCTTTCATGTGTCTTGCACTGAAGAGAGGCAGGCAGTTCCTTTGACCTCATGATTCTCATTTGCTCTGACATGCACTGTGAGCTGTAAGGTCTTATATAGACAGGTGTGTGGCTTTCCTAATCAAGTCCAATCAGTATAATCAAACACAGCTGGACTCAAATGAAGGTGTAGAACCATCTCAAGGATGATCAGAAGAAATAGACAGCACCTGAGTTAAATATGAGTGTAAAGGGCAAAGGGTCTGAATACTTATGACCATGTGATATTTCAGTTTTTCTTTTTAATAAATTTGCAAAAATTTCTACATTTCTGTTTTTTTCTGTCAAGATGGGGTGCTGAGTGTACATTACTGAGAAATAAAATGAACTTTTTTGATTTTTGGAAAATGGCTGCAATGGAACAAAGAGCAACAAAATTTAAAGGGGTCTGAATACTTTCCGTACCCACTGTATGTATATATGTCAATTTAATATTGTTTGTCCAGGACTTCCATTTAAGACATCTTAAAGTTAAATAAGAGGGGGATCTCGTTCATTAACAATACTCATCCTATCTCTTAAGTTCATTTGTTTCCCTAATCTGGTTTGCAATTAATGATTTTGTGCTGCGTTCAGTCTCAGTGGAGCTGCACCACTCTGGCATTACTCTGGCTCTTACATAACTTTGTCTTTAGAGAAAATATGGGTTTTAAGTATTTAACTGTTAATGTTAAATATAATTTACACATCATCTTTCTTGCTCTTTTGTAGAGTTTTTTCCTCCAGCCATGCCTAATTTATAACAGTGCCTTTCCTCTTGTGTGTCTCCATGCCCTGTGTGTGCCTCTAGCAGATTTCCAATAACGCCATCCACCCAAATGTCTTGAAGCAAAAATTTACTGTGTTGGGCAAGTTACTCAGAGATTGTAATAAGTTACTAGTCACTTATTACTCCTTAAAAAAGTAATCATAATATTACTTTACTTATTACTGGGTGATGAATGCAACTAGTTACATTACTTGTTACAGTACCCACAACTGGATCCTTTATTGTTTGCCAAAAGAGGGACAGAAGATGCAGTGGCATGCCTTCTTCACTCCCTACTACAACATCATGAATCACCTGGGAATTTCGCCAGACTTCTTTTTATTGACTATAATTCTTCCTTCAACGCTATTCAGCGTCACCAGATGATTAGGAAACTCCACCATCTCAGCGTCCCCTCAGTTTGCAATCACTGGGTTTACAGCTTCCTGGGCGACAGACCACAGATAGAGTGGATTCTGTGACGTCCTCCACCATCATCACCAACACCGGAGCCCCACAGGGTTGTCTCTCTGTTTTAAGCTATCAAGCTTTCAAGTCACCATCTCTCACCTCACGCAGTTCAGGTGAACGTTGCAAAAACAAAAGAAATGTTAATTAACACACCCAACTCTGCCAGCACAGCCCATATTGTCACCCCCAACCCTACATGCATGAATCATGTTGCGGTTAAAAGGGTGGAGTGCTTCAGATACCTTGGACTCACTCTGGACAATAAACTGAAATTTCATCAAATCTGGAATGTAATCTGGAAACGGGCTCGCTATAGCAGGAATTTTATCCCGTCTGCCATAATACTACTCAACAAGAGTACTTGCTAAGAAAAAGGTATGTTTTGGTTTGGGAGTCATATTGTGTATTAAATGTACAGCACGTTGTTATGTATGTTCATGTTGTGTATATGTGAGGCAATGTGCGTATAGATGGTGGAAACAAATTTCCTGGAAAGGACAATAAAGAATCTAATCTAATCTATATTACTTTATGGAAGTAGCTGCGTTTCACGTTTCAAGTTTCACGTTGCTGTGCTGCTTCAGCAGATGCTTCAATAAATTAGATGTACAATTTGTACAAATGCTTTTTGCTGGTCACAACAGACGACAATGCATCTTAGACTGTGACACAGTAATGGCAGTAGCTACTTTCAGCTGTGGAAAGAGCAGCTCTCTCCCTCGCTCTCCATTCTTCCTTTAGCTTTTTGGCTGACAGCTGACTTTAACAATAATAATAATATTATTGTTTTGGAAAAGAAATCCGTTACACTGCTAGTTATTGGGGAAAGTAATATTATTACAGTAATACGTTACTGAGTAACATTCAACACTGGTCATTAATAACTTAATCAGTCAGCATTATGTTTCATATCAGTACATTCGGTTATCAGTTCAGAAAAAAAAACACGAGTTAAAAGTGAGTTGTAGGAAAATATTTGAGTAGCTCACAATGCTTGTTTTTAGAATTTTAAAGAAGTGTTTTTTACAACTGCAGTTTTTATTAACATTTTATATATAATGCATTATAATTCCCAATACCTTTTGTTTGGCTTTTACTGCTGCTTGTTTATGTTTTGAAACTGCTTTTTGAATGTCTGTGATGGGGTCACAGCTGAATGTTTACCTTGTCCTCGGGCAAGATGTCGGTTACAGGTAGACAGCTGATCACGATGAGTGACAAGGAGCAGTGTGAACCTGCCAACCACAGACAGAACGCTGATAGCATTATGTGATCTTTGTGTCTGTCTCTTCAGGTGAGATCACATATGGAGGCAGAGTGACGGATGCGTGGGACCAGCGCTGCCTCAGAACAGTCCTCAAAGGCTTCTTCTCGCCTCAAACCCTGGATCCTAGCTACACCTACTCCCCGTCAGGTATTCCTCCTCCTTCTCGCCTTCTGTGTGTATGCAGGGGATGGACAAAATAACACAGACAGGTTTACAATATAATGGAATTCAACATACCAGGTGTGCATGTGTGTTTGCAAAAATCTATTTGTCTCAGTGCATGCTCGTATACTCTATATTTTATTTGGATGATGGGATTTCTCTCTTGTGTGTTTAAGGTATCTACTATGCCCCGGAGATGGATAAACTAGAGCAATATAAGATGTATATTGAGAGTCTTCCAATCATAGATGATCCCGAGGTCTTTGGTATGCATGAGAATGCCAACCTGGCCTTCCAGGTGAGGAACAATATAAATATCTTATTGTAAAAACCATACAAATCCCTATCTTTCTGCCTATTTTGTAATGTGTATGTATATGATTGGATTTTATATGACGTTTCCCTTGTCATGATAGAATTCTAGGAGCAGATGTTGTAAACTAATTGACCTTTTTGTTTTAATTGTGTTTGTTTTGCAGAAGGGTATGTTGAATAGCTCATTTTAACTAGTAAATATCATTACGTATGGACCTATTCATGATTTAAGCTGAAGCTGCTCATCCAGTTCATGGGTATAAAAGCATTTCTGTGTTCTGTGCAACTGCAAAATATCAGTAACAGATGATGCAACAGTGTATGTTTGTGTGTGTTATATGTTTGCATCCACAGCGCCAAGAAACCATGACCTTAATCAACACTATATTTGATGTTAATCCTCGCTCATCAGTCCAACATGGAGCTAAAAGTAATGATGACATAGTCTGCGAGCTGGCTGAATCCATCTTAGCCAAGCTACCTGGTACATATACACACAAACACATAGATACACATGCAAACGCATACATTTGGGTCTTTGTTGAGATGTGTATCATGGTATATCATTATATAACACTGTGTTTTCCATGTCCATCTTGTCTACCTCCCTGTCTGTCTGTGTGCAGAGCGTCTGGACATGGACGAGGCGGTGGAAACTCTGTTTGTCCGCGACAAAAACGGCCGCCTCAACTCCCTGACAACGGTGTTGGGCCAAGAGGCAGACAGATTCACCAACCTGCTGAGAGTGCTCAGGGTGACACACATAGCTAGCACCCATAAACACTTGTAAACAATGTATACATATATTTTATTTGGAGTTGTGTTGCAAGAAAACAACGTTTGTCAAAGTGTATTTTCTATCAGCTACTGATAGTAGCAAACACTTCTAGAGGAATAATACTTTGACCCACTTAAATGTGAGAACATCAGTGAGCCAACAGTGATATGACTTGAGAAAAAGAAAGGCCAAAAAGTGAAGAATTTTTGAGTAACTGAATATTTAAACATATATATTGTATGTATGAAAAGTAAAAAGCATTTCTAGAGATCTTTATTGTCCTTTCCACCACCTCATTGTGATGTACGTTGATTTCTTTGTCTCCCAGATCTCTCTTGTCACTCTGCAGAAGGCCATAGCCGGTCTGGTAGTGATGTCAGAGGAGATGGACTGCATATACACAAGCTTCCTGAACAACCAGGTTCCCACCCACTGGGCGAACTCTGCCTACCCTTCTCTCAAACCCCTGGCCTCCTGGGTCAGAGACCTGGCCCTCAGGACCTCCTTTATCCAGGTCTGGATCAGAAAGGAAAATAAATACTGACACACAAACACACATGCATCATAGGCACATTTTAGCGTTCATCTCCCCTGACTTAAGCAACTCTTACACACACACACACACACACACACACACACACACACACACACACACACACACACACACACACACACACACACAACACAAATGCAAAAGGGACAAACAGGGGAGTTGCATTAGTTCATGATGTGATGGGTAGCCACTGAGTGGGACTGCACATGTTCAGCGCCTCAAAAGATTTATTTTTTACCATTGCATAAATTAAATAGTCAAAATGTGCTTTTTACTCAGTGTTTCCCCCAGGATTTGGAGAGACTAGGGGGGTGGGTCCCAGGGTCGAGAGGGTCCGGTAAAGTAAATTACATGTGTCTGTTTACTTTTAATGGACACATGTAATTGGTTTTATACTTTCTGTGAATATAATCCAATTAATCTTATTTCCATCCTGTACAGACACCTTATTTTGAAAAACGGACGTTGTCACATGTGTTTCCTCCTCGCGCTAAATTCATCCAGTCCGACCCAATTTGATAAATAATGTTGTATGTGGTTCTTGTATTGCATAACATGAAGACTTCACAGCCTCTCTTCAGGTAGGACTCTCATACTGCAACACTTGTCTTTGTAAAGAGAGAAACTGATAAAGTCTCTAACCTGCCCATCAGCTCGCACTGATCCGTTTCAGTGGATTTACCATAAAGGCTTTAATACGTGTGCACTCCAAATTTAGGTGCGGCTAGCTTAATCGCCTTCTCACAAACGAGTGACAGAAACACTCAAAGCGGGTCAGACCGTTTGTTGCCACAGATGGTGTGGATGTGCTGGGAGCCTATTCAGCAGAACAGTGTCTGCAAACAGCGATTTTTGCGTCTTTCTCAGACACTTTAAAATGCTTCCACACCGCCAACACGTCAACATAATTGTTTGTTAAAATATGACTTATTGGGCCGAACACCGAAAGTGCTTTTTTTTCGGCCGATTAATTTCGGTAGCAGAACGTTCGGTGCGTCCCTACTTTTAGGTCCCATTAGTAACAGATACCTACTATGCACCATAGCTTGTAAAAAACTGAACACACATTAAAAAGGGTTATTTAAAGAAACACACATTTTAATGACATATCTCTCTCTTTTGCCAGACCTGGATCACACATGGTCAGCCTAAATCTTTCTGGATCTCAGGATTCTTCTTCCCTCAAGGCTTTCTTACTGGTAAAACACTGCAGCACCAAAATGTCTTCCATGTTTTAATAACCCATAGCAGTAAGGTCATTTCTAAGCTGCTAGAATATAATGATCACTCTAAGTATTCTTTCAAGTATACTGTAAAACAACATGATTATCTTTTAACTGCTCAACAGTTTCTTTAGTAGTATTCACATCTTGCAAAATAAGTAATTTTCATGTTCTGCCTGCTGGCCTGTAGGGTTGCTTCAGAATCATGCCAGGCACTACAATCTGCCCATTGATGAGCTCAACTTCTGCTTCAACATGATGCCAGTTTACAGAGACCAGGCAGCAGTCTGTGAGGCTCTTCGCACTCTGCGCAGCAACATGGATGACGAGGTATTGGAAGGGAGGTGTTGTTGTTGGTATGTGATGTTTAAGGATCCTGTTCCAGTTGTACCCATGAGATTATTTCAAAAATGGGGTGCTCTGGTGGCCTGGAGGTTAAGATACTGACCTATAACAGTGACTGTAGCATGGGGACCTTTGTTGGGTGTCATTCCCCCACTCTGCCCTCATTTCTTGTCATCTCTTTAGGTGGCGGTTGTCTAGTTGACCCTTTGCTAAAGCCATGCCCCCCTTAGTTACTGTTGCTAGGTCCGACTGTCGGACCTGTCGGATTTATCACGGTGCTGCCACTGTCTATAACTCCCTGGAGATATATTGTCTAATTTTTGTAAAAACAAAAAAGGCGATCTCAGAAAGGAGACAGAAAGGTTTGCATTGTACATTTGAAGATTGTATTGTAGTGAACAACGATGTGGATTTGTGCATTTTTATATTGAATGAATGTGGAGCTACCCTAAATTCCTTTCTCCTCCCCAGAGAAGATGGGGAGGGGTCAAAGTTGCTTTCTCTAAGTGCTAGCCCGACCATAAAACTGGCACCATTTTTGATTCCGAAGCTGATAACGCGGGGCCTGACTGTTAAACTGACAAAGGGACACGAGCCAGCCATTGGCATCTCCCTGAACAGCCTATCAAAACTTACCCCACCACACACGTTTCCGTGGAAACTGACCTTATTCTTTGTTTTATTACCACATCAAAAGGATACTCCTTGTCTCACCTAAGTGTGACATGTTCCAGACACTGAACTTTGGATGACAAAGGACTGCATTCTCCAAAAGACTCAAAGCATCTAATTAAATTTAATTAAATCTTTAGTTACCTGAATATGTTCGCCTCTATTTGAGTAGTTATGTTAACTGTTGTTGCTCTCTGTTGTTGATATTAGTGCTGAAAAGAAGTTACTTGTGCAATGTTTTCATTTTCAGCAAGACACTCCTTCATCCGATGTAATCAATGCTTGTTCATAATACTTTCTTACAAAATCCCTTTAGAAATGATGACAAAGAAATGTTTTACTACACTCTTAATCGCCAGCTTGAATTTAAGGATGAATCAACAAATTCCCCGGTTCCTAAGGAGAGACGATCTTTGATTTAATCCAAGCTTTCCTCATGTAACCTGAGCTCCCCCAAGTGGACGAAATAAGTATTACATGCCCTCGTCAGAAATGCGGTTAAATGTGTAAAAATACTGACCAATAATGTGACAATTTACCAAATGCTTAGAACAGTACAACCGTTCAACCATTGAGGTTCGATTGTGGAAAATATTTGATTATAATACGTGCAAATAGATTTCTTTTCTTTAGACATTAAGTTTAGAAAGGCAGTCCCTGGGGAAACCTGAGACGCCCCCTGGGGAACCACGCCCCAGGCAACAAAAGAGCGACACGCGACCTGCTCTTCTACTCTTAGACTCTTCCCTCTTCTCGCTCTTCCACTCTGGCCCCTGGATGCTTCGGCACGCGCGTGGCGTGCCTCGCCAGACAACACGCCCAGACTCAGCCAGCGAAACAAACAGGCCTTTGTTCGCCTGAAGCTACACACCTGAAGTGCCGAGACATCGATCTGCCTTCAGTTTGTTTTATTTTCTTTATTTCTTTTGTTTGTTAAAGTTATGAGTCCGTTAAGTTACACTGGACTAATTCAGGAACGACCAAGTTCCATTTTAAGCCTTTTTCGTCGAGCCAACTTCACCGAGGTCAGACCAAGCCACGTGGTCTCGCCAGCTACAACCAAGGAAACCTGCAAACAGCCGAATTGCCAGACGGAGGAGGCGTTTTCAGACACGGAGAACCCCGAAGAATCCCTAGCAAAAAGCCAGGATCGGCAGCTAGAGTGGGACCCGTGCAACAGGCCAAAAGCAGGCTGTCGACAAGCAGTAAGACTTAACACACGTCCTGTGATCAGATGTCCATTTTAACTCCTAAACTATAGCATTAGTTTACTTTCATTAGCTCTTCTATGCCGTATGAGTCGAATGCTTCCCACAATCGAACCTCCAGGCTCATTGTTCAGCAAATGTTTATGTTCCCTGTATCCAACCATCTTTTATCACCTTAGTTAGAGAATAAATTCACTGTAATATAATCAAGAGCTGTGTGTGTTGCCTATTTATAGTTCCTGCCAAGAGAATTGACCCTTTAGATATGAGACTGACTGACTGATTAAGATAATTGAGCGATTATTAACTAACTGATCACTAGTAATAATTGTATAATTATTCAAAACTACCTAGAGGTCCGGAGACTCTAGGATTATAACAACTCCGGTGGTGCCCTTTACGAGGAAATTCTGATTTTATGAATAATAATTCATAATTGGGTATCAATTCTCATAAATTTATTAAAATGCATAACTAATAAATTTAGGTCCACTACAGTATTAAGATTGTGATTGGCTACCTGCGTATTTGGGGCGTGACTTGACTTTGGGTCAATTAAGGCATAGAATGCCCCAGAAAACAGATAATTTCAAACATGAGTGTTTGGGCTGACATCAGGGCAGCAGACATCACAAATGTCTGTGGGAGTTTTTTATTAAGTAAACAATACATATAAATAATAATAATACATAGTAGTACAAGTACAATAGTACAAGTATTAATTTGGTTCATCGACGTTTCACTGCAGACCCACAGCTCAGTTAAAGTTAGCCAAGTTCACTTATCTCAAATTCGCTTTGCAGAATTTATCATTCATGTTGTTCATGTCCATCCATCAACCATTACACACAAATCTGATGTCCAACAGAGTGTTGTGTTCCAGAAATAAAAAGTCGGAAATAAGTCATGTCAGTCATTATGCTAGGGTTTTTTCTTTGAAGATTTAAACTAGTCTTTAGACCTGTTCTCAACTTAAATTGAGTTCATGAACTATAAGTTTTACATAAGAGATCTTAAAAAAAAACTTACATAAAACAGGAAATGTTAATTTTTCTCAGTATAATTTTAAAAGAATGTTCCTCTTGTGTCTACTTCAACTAATGAAAATGAAATCCATAAAACTTTAGTAAATTAGCTGTGTAAAGATTTTACTAAGGCAAACAACTTGTTGTGTTTTTGTTGGTAACCCAGCTTCTGAAAGGAGCAGTGATGATTGGAACAGTAGTGAGTGTGAATGCATACCATTGCTACATATATTTACTGTGAAAACACAAGAGACAGCAGTGCAAAGTGAGGATTGATCACTGAATAAGTATGTTTCACTCACCACGGCTGCATTTCATTTGTGGATTCAACAGTTACCAGAGCCACAGGACGGCGCACTTGTGCACGGCATGTTCATGGATTCCAGTCGCTGGGACGATGCGAACATGGTGATTGAGGATGCGTTACCTCGAGTGATGAACACCATGCTGCCAGTGGTGCACTTTGAGCCCCAGCAGAACTACGTGCCTGAGCCTGACCTCTACCACGCTCCTCTGTACAAGACCTCAGCCAGAGCTGGGACTCTGTCCACCACTGGTACATACCAGATCCATTCAGGGACCCTCACTCACATTCTGGTTTAAACCTGGTTTATATATTTGAAGGCACTTAGCTGACATATTTTTTTACTGATAGGAGTTTTTAGTGTCCAGAGCCATTTCTGTCTCTGTTAAGCAATATAATGTATAGTTGATTTGACCTGACTTTTCCCCTCACCTTTCATTTCTGTCTCCCTCCAGGTCACTCAACTAATTTTGTTGTGACAGTAATGCTTCCCTCCAAGCATCCCAGCGACTATTGGGTATCAAAAGCCTCTGCGCTCCTGTGCCAGTTGGATGATTAAGTTTTTAAACATGGTCAAAAATAAATTTTAAATGTGATTAAAGTAATATATGTTTGGAAAATTCTTGGGAGTAGGTTAACTTTTATTTTCAGAAGATCATGGAAAGAAGATGGAAGATCAGGAAACTCATGATCATTTACTGAAGCCCAGCCAGGAAGACTGGCAACAGCATACAAGGTGTGGACACAATGTAATACTAAAGCAAATCTGAAGGATACTTCCTGTCTGTGGATATTTACTGTATCCTTCCTGGACTTACAGAGATTCACTAAGTGTCCAAATAAGGTTATTGTTCAACCCTCTATACATGTGTGAAGATTCTAACAATGTTGGTTCAAAACAAGCAACTATGATTACCTTCATCGACTCTCACTGTCTCAGGTGAGGGTTCCCACCTGCTTCAAGACCACCATCATTCCTGTACTCCTGTACTGTATTCCTGTAAGTCTGCAGTGTCTAGTCTGAATGACTACCGCCCTGTGGCACTCAGCCCCATTCTGATGAAGTGCTTTGAGAAACTGGTTCTTAAGCACATAAAGAACAACATCGCACCTAGCCTGGACCCTCACCAGTTTGCCTTCAGAACCAATAGATCCGCAGAACACCTACATCAGAATGCTGTTTGTGGATTTATTTTTAGGCTGTGGGTGATGCGAAGATGTTTTTGTATAGTGACATCATCCTACCAAACCGATTGAAGCACTAAAGCCTTGTACTTGTTGTAGCCTTCTTTTAAGATATGATCGTAAGCCTCACTGCTTTGAAATGTGCTGTATATTTTTTATTTGCTCCCAAATCCGTTTCACACATCCTGTCGCAGCCGTAAAAATAAATGGGTTTCATTTTTCTTATGTTTGGCTGAACAAAATGAGCATATAGTTTAGTAGGCCTATGGAAATTTAGTTGAGACTGGTCATGTGGTGCTCCTCCTTTTGCTGTTTGGGCGCAGGTAATGTATGTTTTCAGTAGCCTAAATGTTGAGATTCAGTCTTTCGACCACTATTTAACACTTTGACGTGAATGGATTGTTTGTTTAGTTGCTTCCATGCCTCTGGCAGGGTACTGGCAAGATGGTGTGCCAAACAGATTGGAGCTGTGACCTCTGGGGAGTGTGGTTCACTGGTGACCACGATGATTGCCATTAATGCCTTGGGTAACACCATTCCTCTCCACTTTATCTTCCTAGGGTGGAACTCCCATCTTCATTTTGTCAGTGATGGACCACCTGGATCTATTGGGGCGGCCAATGGATCCGGCTGGATGCCAGTGCCTTGTTAATTATGGACAACCATGCCTCCCATCTGTCTGTGGAGGGGATTGGTTTTTGTAAGAGACATGGAATTGTGCACTTATCTTTACCCCCTCATTGTTTGCATAAACATCAGCTTCAGGGTTGATGGCCTGTTGAAGAAATACGTCAACCTTTTGCACGACAAATGGATGAAGACACACCCTGGGCACACCATGACCTACCCGGAATAGTGAAGTGACCACCGCAAATTCCCAGGCAGGCTTTATGTGTTCAGGGATCTGGCCTTTAAACACGGATATTTTCTGCCACAACTGTGAAAGCAACTGAGACGGACAGACAGAAAATGATAAGACATTAAGAGTTCCTCCATTTGTTTTAACTCTCACTCTTCTGCCAGTTGACTTGTCCATGTTTGCGATTGGTAATCTGCCACAAACACCACCCCCCATTATGTGAACATGGCTAGATTGGGAAACCCTGATTGTGATTGTTAAGTGAAGTGAAGCCAGATAAAGAAATCCAGGATGTTCAACTAAGATCTTTGAAGATCAGACACGCCGTGTTAAAACCATTTATTCGACTTTAATACTGGAGAGGTCCATTCACACTGTGTGGTAAGTCATTGGATGAATGTGCTTACAGAAAGTTACACTACACATGTAGCGCCGGGGTAAGAAAAGACGAAGGGATGGATGGCAGAATAGATATAGATTTATGAATGGAGATGTGTGTGTCTTAGGCTAACTTAAAATGTCCCAACAAACTGTAATAAATTAGTAACTCCATTTAATACATGTCAAGTCAAGTTTATTTATAAAGCACATTTAAAAACAACCAGAGCTGACCAAAGTGCTGGACAAAGTTATACAGTTATAGACATAAAAATTAAAACCAGATAAATTAAAACAGGCCAAACAATTAACGACATACCGCAATACAATACAGCAACATGACTTTAGTACATCAATCTCAATGTCTAGTTTCCAGTGCATAAATCTCAGTGCATAAATAAGTGTAGTGGTAATTCTCCTATTAACATAAAATAAAATAAACAAAGCCCCAAACTTTCAGTTTAAGATAGAACATAAAACATATGGTACATATCAACTGTAAAGTTGCAGTATTTCAACATATATACAGACATATACTCACTACAGATTGCCTTACTGCTAACTCAAATGCACGTGTAGTGGTGTAACGACCATCAACCCAATAATAATAATAATAATAATAATAATAATCTTTATTTGTAGAGCACTTTTCAAAAACAAGTTACAAAGTGCTTTAACAAGTGTAAAGACAATAATACCAAGAGACAATAATACAAAACAATACAAGATAAAAGCATGAAAACATTGAAAAGACTAAAATACACGTTTAAGATAAATATATAATTAGTAAAATACAATTTTAAAAAAGGGATAAATTAAAGTCAAATAAGATCGGGAAAGGCTCTCCTATAAAAGTATGTTTTAAGAAGGAACTTAAAAGAGTTCACTGACTCAGCCGACCTGATTTCCTCGGGCAGGCTGTTCCAGAGCCTCAGGGCCCTGACAGCAAACGCTCTGTCCCCTTTAGTTTTTAGTCGAGACTCTGGAACAGATAGCAGACCTCTGCCCGAGGATCTCAAGGTACGTGCTGGTGTGTATGAGACTAAAAGTTCAGAAATATAACAAGGCGAGAGGCCATGAAGAGCTTTAAAAGTAATCAATCGAATTTTAAAGTCAATTCTAAAACATACTGGGAGCCAGTGTAATGAAGCTAAAATAGGAGTAATGTGGTCATATTTCTTTGTTCTGGTTAAAAGCCTGGCAGCTGAGTTCTGGACAGTCTGGAGTCAATCAATAGATTTTTGGGTTAAACAGGTAAAAAGGCTGTTGCAATAATCCAGGCGTGATGAGATGAAGGTGTGTAAAGTGGCCTTAAAAGTTAACATAGATCGAATTTTTGCTATATTTCTAAGTTGATAAAAACATGATTGAACAAGCTTTGTGGTGTGCTGCTCAAAATTTAAATTACTATCAAACCAGACACCAAGGTTCTTTGCCACAGGCTTAATGTGATTTACTAGGGAACCAGCGATGGCAGTATTTGTTTTGCCATCTGCTGGGACCCGATGACCAGGATTTCTGTTTTGTCTGAGTTCAGCTGGAGGAAATTATTTGACATCCATTTTTAACTTCACAAAGGCAGTTGTTAAGTGAACTCAGCATTCCAGGGTCTGTGGATCTAACGGGCAAGTATATTTGTGTGTCATCAGCATAAATATGAAAAGAAATACCATGTTTATGGATAATATTTCCAAGGGGAAGCAGATACAAGGAAAACAAAATGGGCCCTAAAACCCCTGAGGCACACCATATTTAACTGGACAGAACAAAGAGACATAGTTGTTTACAGACAAGCAAAACTTCCTATTTGACAGGTAGGATGAAAACCATTCTAGGGCAGTACCAGAGATCCCCACCCAGTGCCTCAGTCTGTCTAACATGATGTTGTGATCAATGGTGTCAAAAGCAGCGCTAAGGTCCAGGAGTACCAGGACTGAGCACATACCTTCATCAGCAGACATTAAAAGGTCATTGGTGACTTTAAGCAGGGCAGTCTCAGTGTGTGGTACTTCCTGAAACCAGAAACTTTTCAAATAATTTGTTATTTTCCAGTACAGTGAGCAGCTGTTTGGACACAATTCTTTCTAGAATCTAAAAGTCAGTTTTGAAATTGGTCTAAAATTATGTGGGAGGGAGGGATCTAAACCAGGTTTCTTTAAAAGTGTGTTCACGCAAGCCGTTTTAAAATAATCAGGGACACAACCAGTAGATAGGGAGCTGTTGAAAACAGAGATCAAATGGGGCCCAACAGAATCTATTACTTTCAGTAAAAACTTTGTAGGTATTACATCAAGTGGGCTGGAGGACACTCTCATTTGTGATACTGTTTTTAAAAGCTCAGACAAGTCGATGGGATAAAATTGGTTAAAACTCTCTTGTTGCTGGTGAGGAACCTCTGAGTAAGAGGCTGCGGGGGTAATAGAGACTCAGATTGACACCACCTTATTGGTAAAATAAGATAAAAACAATTCACATCATCATTACTTCCAGCTGAGGCCCAATGTCTCTTTGGTGGGGCTGGACGGTGGATCCCGTGTGTGTGTGTGTGTGTGTGTGTGTGAGAGAGAGAGAGTAGGTCAATATTGACCACTATTTTTGAGGTCTCATCGGCCAAAGTCACAACTTCTTAAATGGACCCAGCATGTCGCTCTCTAATTTCCCTGCTTTCCTTCACTGTTTTGTGTTTCAACACATCTCCAACAGCAAAGTTGTCCTCCCAAACCTTTTCCATCTTGTGCTTGGTGTATTTTGTCGTTGGATCTTTTTACATTTTGCTGGATTGTTTCATAGACCTGCTGCTTTGTCAGTCCCGCAAACACCACCTCTTCATCAATATGCCAAGTAGTGTTATATTCCAAGCCATATCCAAGTTATTATGACCTTGACTCCCAAACAAATGGAGCCACTTACAACATACTCCTGGCACCTCTGAGGGGTACCTTGCCTCCCTGCCAAACATTGCTGGCTGGAGGTGTTTATCCCCTTGTTGGGTGTAGTCGGGCAACTTTGAGAGACCTGGAAAATGTCCACATTTAGATAACATGCCATTTGTCATTAATTTAGTCTATAGCATTAATATTTAGTATATCTGTCAATTTAACAATATGTACCTTAACTCTGGATGGTGCCAGTAAGCTTCTCAACCAAGCCATTGGTTTGAGGGTGGTAAGTTGTACAGAAGCTTCTGTGAATCCCAAGGG